AAAAAAATACAATAAAAATACCAAAGTTTGATACTTCATATAAAATACCCAAAACAACCAAAAGATGTTTTGGGTTTTAAGAGGCTTTTGATATAAAGATCTAGGAATAAAGACATTAGAAGATTTCATAAAATCTTATCTTATATTCAAAACACGGCCTCTATTACAATAAGATGGAACTTTATGTATGCAATATTTACTGCATTTATTTTCTTATAACTAAGACTATGTAATTTCACATTTGAATTTTGTTACCAATTTTTATTAAAATTCTTGTACATAAAACATCCATTTGATTAAGGTGTTGTCTTTTTGCATATACAAAATAGTCTTGTATTATTGATTAGGTAGATATATTCAAATTACAATAGATAATAGAAACATTATGTTAACCTAAATAATTTTGTTCTAATATGCCAACATAGAAAATATTGTACATGCTTTCAATAGCCTCTTTTAAATGTGGAATTTTCTTATTATACATGACATATTTATTAAAAAATCAATAAATTTGCATCACATGTAAAGTGCTATTTTATATAACTCCATACATAAAATCTAAAAACTAAATCAAAATAATTTTTTCTTCAATCCAAAAACTTAAAAATTATATGGATATTTTTAATTTTCTAAAAATATTTTAAAAGAAGAAGATATACCAATTGAAAAGATCAAATGTTATTTTTATTAATTTTATATTTTTTTAAGAACTCATTTAGATCTATCTTAAAAAATGTTTTTTTCTAAATTTTGAGAAGCTATTTTAATAAAATTTTAATAAACTAATAATATTTTAATTTATTTTAAAAAAATTAAATACATATTGACATAATTGGAATCATAGTAAAATTGTGATTCGATAAATTTTATGGCCTCTTCTTGTTTTATTTTATTCTTTTTAAAATTAATTTCTGAAAACAAGAATCTTTAAAAAGCTTTTGAACCATAGCCTTTGAAATGCTTCTTTCGAAATGAAAACTTCATTTATTCATGCCAAGAATCTTTAAAAATCTCTTAAATCAAGTCTTTTAAAATTTGGCTTTCAAGTTCAAAGACCTCATTATTATATATCATATTTGTAAAATGTTCATTGAAATCTTTGTTGTCAAAATTCAATTACTACAATGCAAAGACATAAAATCATTGCTTGTTTTTGTACACAAGTTACTAAACCCAACTTTTGAACAATAGATTATATAATTGCAAAAAGAAAAAAATGAAAAAAATGAAAAATTTAAATACTTTAAAATATTTCATTTTAAAAAAAAAATTGCTTAAAACCAAAATAAATATAATCCTAAAATCTTTTAAGGCTTAAAAAGACTTCTTTTTAATTCTTTTTATATTTTGTTTTTTTTCAAGTATGAATCTTAATTATATTTCTTATTATATAATAAAAAATATAAAATTTTATTCTTAAAATTAGGGGAGCATTAAAAACTTTATATGGATAATTCTTAATAATATTGCAATTAAATTAAAACATGTTCTTTTGTTAGATTGTAACAAGTGTAAAATTTTTAGTAGTAAAAAATGAACTACAAATTATTTAAAGAAAATTTGTCATAGAGGCTAATCATGATTACTGATATTGTCACAAAATATAAATTGTCCCAATCAGAAATTTATTTTTTAAAATTATGTAGATTTTGTAGTAATATATATATATATATATATATATATATATATATATATTTGACTATTTTGAAAATATCTATTTTAAAACTACTTATTTTTTACACAAAATAATCTCATATTCTAAATTTAAAAAATAATAATTATTTACAATAAGAATTGGTATTAAAAATTTCTTCTTCATTGTTTATCTAGTCTATCAAATAATTTATTCTTTTGAAAATTACTTTATTTAGGAAAAATCTAAACAACATTCCTTCAAAATCACCTAAAAATTATTTAAAAGCTTAATTTTTCTTAAAAAAGAACTCACAGCTTAATTCAAATCAATATTTATTTTTTACTATTAAGTTGCAAGAATAAAAATTTAATTTTTTTATAGTATTATATTTAGTAATTTAGTAGATTAATATTTTTAAATCAATCATAATAAGATGATTATGAAAAAAAATTATATTTATTACTACTAAACATTGTTTTAAAAATGATGCTTATAAAATAAATACTTAATAGTATAGTTATTTTATGTAGAAAATTAAAAATTAATCACTATTAAGTAATAAAATTATGAGTTAATTTAACATTCAGTGGTTTTTTTAAGAAAATATGAAATTTTATCTAGTGAATTTTGTCTTCAAAAAATAAAATAAAAATTATCCATTTGATTATTCTTATTTTAATAATATTTAATTGTGGTAATTTTTAAAAATATGTCAATTATTATAAAAACTGAAACTTTTAAATTTAAAATAAAATTAAGAAAGAAGCCAAAACTCACTATTAAAAATATAAAAGATAAAAATACCATAAAGTAATATTAAATTTATTTTTATCTTATTTGGATATAATATTGAAGCTTTTGTGCAAAAAAAAAAATGATATAAAATAAGCCATTTATAAAAATAAATTGTAAAATTTTACAGCACTTTATTTAGGTATTTCAAAATCATTCGTTTTGAATACAACTTTAGTTTAATGTTGAAGTTTTATTTTTGAGATCTTTTGCAATATATTTGTGTTTTATTTCTTACATAGAATTTGCTAACAATATCTTCTAGCAGCCTATGTTTCTATTTATATTATAAAGATGCCAAAACGCCTTAATTTCTATGAAAATATTGTAACTTAAAATTGGCTTTTCCACTTATATTATTAACATATACTATAAAATATTGGTATTACCAATTAAATGGAAAAAATTCATAGTGATATAATGGAGCCAAGATCTTAAATCTATGTATACAAAAAATTGTTAATAGCTATGACTTACAAATGTAAATTAATATTAAAGAAACTAGACATCTATGAATTACAAATTATTTTCTGATTCCAATCAAAGCTAATTTATAATATTGGTGCTTAAATATGTCTCTTTCTATAAAGCTACAATTGCAAAATATGTTCTAATTTTTTTAATTGTATGAATAGTAATAATATAAAAAGATAAATCTATTTTTTAAAAATAATAATCCATGGTATAAAATTTCTTAAGAAAAGAGAAATCTAATTATTAAGATCTAGGTTTATATTTTTTGTAATATGCAAGACAAAAATCATTAATAAATTTGGCGTGATAAGTTTAAAAAATACCTCAATAAGTCTTAATTTTAAGTAGATTCTTAAAAATTTTATAAGGAAATTATAATTTTTGGTTTTTAATACCTTAGATTGAATAACTATCTAATTTCTTCATTTTACTTTCTTACATTACATTAATACTCTTTTCTAACTTTGTATCAACTTACCTTCATCAATATAGGCTAGTTTTTAAAATATAAAATATTTTATATTTTAAACTATTAGACTATATGAACAACTATTCTTTTAAAAATATATACAAATGTTAAATTTTGTGATTTATAAATCTTCAAAAATAATTGACAATTTTACTATACTAAAATCTTTTAAAAATGCCATCATTTAAAATCTTTAAACCTTCTTATTTTACTCCCCTCAATTAAAATTTCTAATCAAACATATATTTTTTGAATAAAATAACCATTATAGAATCATAATTAAATATCTTGTGTTCTTTTTTAATTTCCATTTAAAAAATATAAGAAAAAATAAAAACTTGGAAAAACTGATTATTAGACTTTATAGATAAAAGTCAAAAAAAATGTTAAAGTTTTGAATTCTATTATGATCTTCTCAAAATTTTAGGTTTTAATTTTTGTCATTTTTTCTAAAATATATATATTTATATACATACTTTGGAATAAAACAAAGAAGTCCCTTTTTTTTTAGATTTAATACCATTCAAATAATTTTAAAGAACCAATAATTTTTTTAATTTTTTTAAAGCACGTTTGAAATTTCCAACAGAAATTTAAATCTAAACAAGTGAATGAAAGAGCAATTGAACCAAGGAATGCAGGAAAGAAGGAGAAGGAGCAAATGGTTTCCAAACTCACAAGCTCCAAAACAAACAGAGATGCGTTCCACTGCTCCTCCTAAATATGATTAGAATTAGAATTTTGCCAAATAGGGCAAAAATTTTGAACAGCGCAATTGTTAAAAGGAAATTCTCCTTTGCAGGGCCATGATTTCAACATCAATCATTGTTGCACTTGGGGATATATCTGACTGCGAATGGTTGAGGGCATTGACAAGCCCCCCACATAAATTAGACTTGGGCTTTAGGGGTTAAGAACCCAACTGTGGAAGACAGCAATAAAACAAGGCAACGTCATAAATAGTAAAATTAGGGGTGTGTGGGGTGAGGGTGCAGGAGATGAGAATGATGATATGCCAGCACTGCAAAATGCTGGTTGCAATTGGGTGCTGGGGTGAGTAGTTTGAAAGTAGTGTGCCATTCTCATCAAATGCAGCGGAGAAGGTGGTAATGCCTTCATTGAAAGAAGTGTCCGTAGTGGAGTTGTCCGTTTCTGATTAAAACGTGCAGGGCCTTCACATATAAGTGACCGTGTAAAAGGAAAACTTATTATTACGAGGCAAACATGGACAATCATGTTGAGTCTCCTGTTGTCCTTTTTTCTACATATATACACACGCAGACATACATGTATATAAAAATATGTAAAAGCTATTCACTTTTAATTTGTTTTATTCATAAATGGGGAATGACCCTCAGCTTGGGAGTTTGTCCTGCATCGTGGATGAGTAGGATCTGCCTCTCTGCATGCGTGTCGATTTGGAGGTGCCTTGGGTGGAAGCCAGTGCGGGAGGAGAAAAAGCTACTGTTCCCATTAATGGAAAAGTTGGGGCTGGGGCCAAGGGCAGTTTCAGTGCTAAAAGAGTTCAATAGCGATTTGAGACTAGTTTGAAAAAACACTCATTTTTCCCCATTGGTGTGGGATTTAAAAACTAGCCTCGGAGATTTTCCACCTAGAGTCAATGTCAGATTAGGTTGAAATGTACCGTTTATTGCAATGTTTTAGATTGCTTTCGTCTGGGTAGGAGGCGTTACCCCTGACCATGTTTAATCTGACCATTTTTAGTGGCTAACAAAAATAATATGAACCAGAACAAGACATACGACGCGTGAACTATCAACCCATGAGGGATGCTAAGAAACGACTCTGAAGGGTTGAAATTATCGGATTGCGTAGAGGCTTGAAGTTCAGGCATGGTTGGAAGAGTGATCAGGAGTCACAGCCCGATCCCACAGCTTGCAGTCCAACCTATCTCTGCCACTTTGAACGGCATATGCTGAACACATTGACAGAAATTAACTTCACAGTTCAGAAGCATTCAGATGAGCATTGTCCTGTAAATTCTCTCGTCAACCTGCCTGCGATCGATGATTGATGAACCTGAACCTGACTCGCATAACCATTTTAGTTGGATAGACATTCAAGACCTCACTGACAATATGCCTAGCATAAAATCAATATTTCTCCTCGGCACTTAAGAGAGCTGCATAAGACTGGTTTTCATCCCTCGGAACCTTCCTTCGACCAGGTGCATCGTCTGGACGTATAGTTACGTCTACAACTGCTGGCCTTTCCAGATTGAAAAGATCAAAAAGCTGAGCTCTCTTCTCTCTGATCTCTTCAATACGTCCGTCCCAGGAAGTCTCTCCAATAAGTTCCAGTGCTATTTCCACATCATCAGCTCCCAGGATTTCGTCACCACGTTGGATCAATAGCAAGTATACCTGCTCGGCGCAAACCTTCCTAACCTGTAATCCCCATATACCAAATCATCACGCTGAATCGTTCTTTGAACGTCTCAATATTTGCACACAATTGGATAAACTTGCATTAAAAGAATGCTAACCACAAAAGTATAGAGAAACTGACGTACCCTAGGGTATCTGTAGCCCAGAAGAACTAGTAACTGTTCAAGAGCATTACTTCGGGCTGGCTCACGCCATAGAGCGAAATGACTGAGGACATTAATGGCTGCCAACAACTTGGAGACATCTCTGCACCCTTTTAGATTACTTTTGATGAAATCCAATATCTCCGTGGCGAACTTATCATCACAATCCTACGTCAGTTGCCAATATTGGTGTGAGTGTACTAGCTTCTGCTTGAAGAGCAAAGAATTCGTTATTTCAGGATCTTCTGTAGTCGGAAATAATTATTTATGGTAAGCTTTGTTAACATTCGAGGTTGTAAAGAAACAAATTCATGACAGATGTTGCTAAGCTAAGAAGATTGAAAAAAGCTTCGGGGCGAAAATAAGCTGAAAATACAGTGATTTATCAACTCAGATGTTCTTGAAACTCACCATCATATGTGAGAACACTCCCTTGCAGAACAAAACATCCACCGTCTGCAAAAACATCAATCGCGAAAAAACAAATCCAATTTAATTGGCAAACGTTTGACGAGTTGAAGATATGGCACGTGACAAAAACATCCCAACTAAATACCTAAGTACCTTTAGTGCTGGTATTATCACAACTAAACATCCCAACTAAATACCTTTAGTGCTGGTATTATCACACGGTCAATGCCTCGATTGTTCTTTAACAGCTCTACCATTTGTCCACCAAGCCAAGCAGAGCTAGAATCGGTCAGAGCCCCAATGCCACTTGCTGTAGGTGGAACCTCTTGAAGAAAATTAAATAGGGCTTGTGAAGAAACTTTGCCTAGTGAGTCTCCGAGACCTCCAACAGAAATGACAATCCCAGAGAGAAGATAGGGCCGAAACTCGGGGAACTTGAGGAACTGCACAAGGCGAGGGAAGGAAACTGCGGGGGCCTGTAGGCACCAGCACAACGAATCTACAAATGAGTAAACCACTTATTTTTATCGAAGAAAAGCTAGACTGTAACCAAAATGATGTAGATTTGAAAAATTACTTTGGCTTCGCAAGGAAAAAGGCACCACCCTTCCACATATATTTGTGGCTACATTAACTGGTCAACCCGAATACATACATCAGGCACAAATAGGTGTCAGAAATAAATCACAAAAAGCCAAATTGCAACAAAGGTCAGGATACGTACTGCCCAATTCAAACTTGTGTCATTCGGGACAATCTGCTCTAGTGCTCTCCTATGGGGAATCTGATCGCTGATCACTTGATCACTATGCAGTAGCTGCTGCAACGTACGTCCAGCCACATCCCTAACACGATCGATCTTCTCCACTGCCTGCTTAGCCAAGCCTCCAACCACTTTCACGGCGATTTCTTTATCAAAGAGAGTATTAGACCATTCTGTTGTCGATCCACTGGTTTCCGATTCTCCAGAAGAACGTTCAGTCCCGCCAGGAGAACATTCAGTACCTCCAGAAGAATGTTTAGGCTCTACCTTTCTCTGGTCTACCTTAGTTTCTAAGCAAAGAAGAAATGAGCACCGTTTCAACGCATCCATAGCAGCTTCCCGAACCCAGGATCCAACATCTCCTCTATTATCAACAGCATAATCTTCCAAAGCCTTGAACAACACCTCCATCACTTCCTCTCTTATTACCAGTGTCAATTGCTTGTGAGGCACAAGAGCGTCTGAGGGAATAAATATGTTTGATAAAGATTCGCCTGGACCCCCATAAAGGGTTTCACAAACAGCAGCTAAACCACGCACAGCATTCATACGCGTTTCTGCATCCTGATCTTCAACCCTCTCCTGTGGTCCACATCATTGTAGCTGTTTAAGTCTTCTTAAGAAGTAAGGAGCGGCACCTAAAACGCCCTCAGAAAGACACTTAGATACTTAAGTGTGATTGCTATTACTAATGATGCATAGTATTGTTTTTACGAAGGAGCAACGTGGAGAACAAAGATTCCAAAATTTTAAAATAGAACAATCCCTAAGAAGCAAATCCTTTGTGCTAAATTGAGGTTCAACAGCACAAAAAGGCAAACAAACGAATCTCTTGAGAAACATGAACACAGAACTTCATGTGGGTACATGACATAAACCACAGTTCATGCTGCTCATTAACAAGAGTAGGAAAACCACTCCATTGTCGCAGCAGCAACTCTCCTCACGTCCAGGTTCAGGACGTAAGCAGCCAAAAGAAACTCAACTCCAAAAACTGGTTAGTAATACATGGACCACCTAAACTTCTAAATTTCCACAAAGAAAAATATCCTCAAAATAACCAACTAAGGAGCGTAACTCACCTCAGGGATAGTAGCCGCGCTAAGTGTACATATGACATCCTTCCACACAGGAGCCAGAAGCTCGCCAGGTAGGGCAGTGAAGGCAAGTGCAGCGCCCCTTTTTGCAGAAGGATTTGGATCTGCTTTCAGTATTTGAACGTACTTCCCAGTAGACCGTGTCACCGTTGTAGCACTTGCAGGCAGCAAATAGGTGTGGATGAATGGCTTTAGAGCTGCCACAGCCGCTGCCTGAACATTATAAAACGAATTTCAATGAGCTAAATGGTAGTAAGGAAAATTACTGATGAAAAAGATGAAACGGTTTTTTTAATCTCAGGACTTTCGTGAAAACCTCCGTACTGGGCACATCATATTCAACAAATTTAAATCACCTATTTGCAAGACAACAAAACTTACCTGAATATCACTGTTGGGATGCTTCAGATTCTCATCGAGTGTGTCATGCAGCGATTTTTGAATCTTGGGCGATAAACGAATTTTAACTTTAGCAGTGACTTCAATCAGCCGGGAAACAGCAGATCGCACAATTTCCCCACCTTTCCCCCTGTAAAGACGAGCCTTCTCGATTGCAGGTACAGCGGCGGCAATGGTTTTCTCTCTATCTGTCGCAACAAAGCAAAATACATTTCAGCTTCCAAACGATGCGTAACTTAAAAACATAGACGTAAAACTCACAATATTCCATGTGCATGCAGATCAATATATTCCCATCCACAAATGCTGTTGACTATTCCGGGCAATAAAATTAACAATAATTCTCAAAATGCAAATCAGACCAAGCAAATTCTCAAAAAAGAATCCATTTTTTTTAGTTATAACATTGATTGAGACGCATAATTTGCAGGTCCTCATTTCATAGGTCCCTAACCTGGCTTTAATGGATAGCCGCACTCATGGAGAGCTCGAATAACTTCTGCGGCCGCTAGTGCGGCACCATGACGAAGGCCGAGGTCCGGTGATAGAGTCCAGGGTAGGAGTGTGCCCAGCACAGTCGTCTCAAAATATCCCGGATCATACTTTACAAGTGCTGCGAGACCCTCTGCAGCTAATTCACGTAGCGACCTATCCTAAAACAAAGTCAAGTCATGAAAGGAATTAAGTCACTCTGAAGCAGGACAACAACGAATGACAGGTCTTTCGTAGCTCATTGTACAAGCTGAGGGAGCAAAATTAACTCGAGAGACCATGCCATAAAAACCTGAAGCGACCATTTTTCTAAACCAACTTAGAAATTGGTGTGCTTGACCTAAAGTTCAAGCACTAAGACAATGAGACAAGAAGTGCTAAATCGTACCCAATGACGAATCTTTGTGCTTAGGAGCTCCTCAATTAAGCACAGTCGATATTCATCAAACTGGGCTACAAAGGGTCCCACACTTCGATAAGCATTTCCTCGTGAGCCGAGAGAAAAGTAATCTGCAGCATTGACTATATCTATACCGTGCAAGTAATCTCCTTGCCTTCCCACACCTTCCTGAAAAGCCGATGCTGCTGCCCTCCTACAGTTAACCTGTTGCCAGACGACATATTGAGAACGCGATGAGAGCAGATGCAGTATGTATCAGTGTGATCTCATTCAAAGGTCCTAATAACGCAGGCAGTTCAGGCCAAATCCACAGGTATCCCTGTAAAGCTAGATCCTGTCTCCTTGTATGACTTCCACTATGTCCACATGTAGCGTTCACCCGCTACATTGTCTCAAACAACAGAACCGGACTTTGCAACTAGATAAAGGCAGTTTCTTAGAGAATTCAGCAGGATAACGTATAATACACATAATCTTAAAATAATAGATGTATCAGGAGATGGTTATAAAAGAAGTGCAAGACCTCGCGATCATAGCAGGCAGTGGAGAGAAGAGCAGGGGCCAAAACTTGAAAATGAGGATTCATAATTGCCGAAGAATATGCTCTCACAAATGCCCAGCATACATATGCCGCTGCAGTCAACAATAGCGCTATCTTAGAATCATATCCTACTACAAAGGTCATTATGTGATTGTTTCAGGAGACACTTTTCCGATGGCAACAAACTAACACGTTAATATCCTACTCTTTGTAACAATTATTTATTGAAGAAGTTTTACAAAAGAACTTTACACTGAACTGCGAATGTGAATTCCTAATTTTCAAAGAGATGTTTGCAAGGGTCCCACGCAGTTGCATCACCCTATGCGACCTGTAGACTAGACAAACAGGGACTAAGAAATCTCCACCGGTCAAGGAGCTATTACCTTAACTATTACAGGGACTACTGCAGGCAAGCGTTCAGGCAGCAGAAGACCCCTGCGTGTTAGTTCAGCTAGGGCCAGGCATCCTCCATGCCATGCTCCATCTCCCTGTATATTGTAGAAGGAATCTTATGTTGTCAAATAATGTTCTCGTGGATGAAAATAGTAAGACACTACTGCATGGGAGATGATATGATGCTATTCGTAGAACTATTTGAAATTACAATCTCAATGCTCCAAGAGGCTTACGATGGGCACCACGCTTTTCATGCGCACTTTAAAAATTCAGATAGTTTACCTCAGTTGATTGAAATAGATCAAGAACTGAAGCCACCACATCATCCGCAAATGAAAGAGTAAGCCGGCCTGTCACTCGTCCCACACCTTTAGCAGCGGACCACCGCACGACAGTATCCTGCGCATTCACACAAGAGAATTAATTTGCATTAAACTAATCTGCAGCTCAACATAAATACTATACTTATCATGCAACTCCCCCTCAATATCAACTTGTAACAATCCATACCATGATGCACACCACAAGATACGCTCAACAAATTTATGGTAATTATGGATGGAAACTGTAAAGTCTTTCCGTTTTCTCAGCAAAGAAATCGACAACTACGAGCAATTTGTGCAAAACAAAATCTTCATGTCTACTTCTATAGAAGGAATTAACTACAAAACCATGACAAGAAAATGACTCATTCATAAGATAATACTAGAAAGAAGTGCTAACATATGCTAGTAAAATGCAGCAATCTTAAACCCTAAACCTTAGGACAGTTTTCGCTAACCCAACACTCTAAATCGAGATTGTGCTTTAAGCTTACTTTGTCACGAAGACCAGCTAATAAGAACTCAATAACTTCCTCCATGATTTCTGGAATTTCAATGTCATCCTCTGAAACCTCAGTGTCAACACCAGAACTACCAAGAAGTCCAGGAGCTACACTTTTATCATTCTTAGAATGCACAATATCAATATTTGTGTCTTCACTAACAGCAGTTAGGTTCTGGATGAGAGACCGACTCCCACGCTGCAATTGCCACGGCACAATTAGCATAACCAATTCTGAAGATACCAAACACGAATTAACAATACAAAATCAAAATATACCAATTCATCGGAAGATCGAAGCATCGTGCTAACCCAAAAAGCGTCAAACTCAATTAGGAAGAGAGTTATCATGATGACAGCGAAGTGAAGGTAGTTAACGTTGGTTTTATGTCTTCTAAAAACATGAACATACTTAAAGTAAACTTAGTAACTTCCAGGTGTACATTGGCCTGCTCCAGCTTTAACTGATAGTAGAGATAGATAATTAGTGAATATAGTAAAAGAAAAGTACCATGTAACGCCATGTGGCAATTCGGGGAGGAAGATATGTGTTGCCAATACGTTGAATCAATTTCACCAATAGCTTGCGAAGCAAAGGGCTACGGATGGCTGATTGGGACCTTGCTAACTTGGAAGCTTCTTGCCATGCGGAAGGAGCGATATCCAGCAAAATGTCACGACCTCCAACCTTGCGAACATTTACAAAATTTCATCCTGTTTAGTTGTCATATGGTAAGAGTAAGGAGTAACAAAAATCATAAGATATCTGAAAGAATATCACAAGAAACGTTTTATAGAAAAATTAATATAATAGCTGATCAATGCGAAATGTCTCTTCAGAATAGAATAGAATAACCATCGGAGTTTAAGAAGGTATTATTTAAAGAGTGACCTTGAATATGGCAGCAATAGCCATGATGACACCCGGAACTAAGAACACGCCCACCCTGCTATCTAGTGGTGAAGCTAGTGTATCATGTGCCCATGCCATGAAACTGCAGAAATAACAGAAGTGTAACATGGTCACAACTGGCGCATCTGATTATAATCTCTCTTCATATTAAATAAGAAATACAAGGAAAAATTCGATTGCTAGAAAAAGCAAAGATCTACAAACAAGCATTTCCTTCCCTCAACACAATGAGCTCAAGAAATAACAGGGATTTGACGGCCATTCATAATGATACATTTAAAAGGGTACACAAGAAAGGTGGCCGAACCGTCTCAAGGCACCACGCATATCAGGCCGGGTTAACAAGCGTGACAAGAGCACCCCAGCCATCTCCCTTGAAGGCCCCGGGTTTTCCAGATGAATAGTGCATATGTTGATAATTTTCTGCACCATAGGAGTGGCCTCATCGTCACCGGCAAGCATAGTATCTGCTGCTCTAGGATCCGCCAAAGAAGTGTCAACTGAAGCTAAGTCAAAAGGTATCAAAACCAAGATGGAAAGCCATAGGAGCAAGCAACATTTTGTCTCCCATTCACCAGTACTCTCCTCTTTCAAGATGCTGCCAACTACAACCTGCTTCACACATTCAGATAATTAGAACAAGTTCAAAAAAGCAATACAACCCATGATATGCATTTCAAAATGCAACGTAGAGCTTTCCGGTCAACCAGCGTAAGTCCTACACTCTGAATGCATACGCGTAAGGATACGAACTGAAGTGAAAGAGTAAGAAGTACATCTTCCAGGGTGTAGCCTGCGATACCTTCAGATGTCACTACCGTATTGAACAAGCAACATCACTCAGTCGCACTCCTCAAACGGACCAACTTTAGAAGACACCGTAAGGCAGCGCCAAGTATTTCTTACCTCCTCTTCACATTGCTCAAGCAAACCAACTGCAACCTCCAAATCTGCTGCCTGGTGTGGGAAAAACTTGACCACAGTCTTGTAGCTACAAACGGTCATCAAAGTGTGAATCAACGAACAAATTTTCTTCACCACCTGCGACATAGAGCAAAATTAGCGGGTAAAACGACTTTCACAGCTTATCCAGAACAAAAATTACAGTGTAACAATGAAATCCTCCAATGAATATGGCACCACTGAAGGAAACCTTATGAATCTAGGTCGGCGACGGTCATCATCACTGAACCAGTAAGTAGTTTGGGATCATTTTCCTATACTGCAACTACTTCACAGTTTTTTCATAGATGATATGCATGACCTCAACATCTGCTATACAGTCTAGAAGATCTATAATGCTGCTCATGTTTGGAGATCAACACACCTGTAACTGTGACTTCGTCAATTTATTCCCATTCAATTCTAGAACGACTGATCTAACGAGGCCCATCACGGGAGTGATTATGCCTTCCAATACAGGCTCCAACAGTTGGCCCTGCTCTTGATACTTTTCAACCTGTGCGTTCCAAAAAGACATGAGGGATGTTTGACTCTTTCAAAAGACTGACTAGCTCACATGGAACTCTGTAAAGTCTAACATGAACTATTTGCACAACCATACTAAGTGAATCTTATGCCGATGACTTAACCCCTCAGTGTCATTTCTATGGACATGCTTGCAGTGAGACCAAAGGATTTCATGAATTGTTCCACGTACAAGCTGGTACTTCGATACTGACGTAGGTACTTGAATCTAATCAAAGCCCTAATTCACCACACTGACAAAAACTGCCCTTTAGAGCAGAGACATAAGTAGGACCGTCGAAGGATGCAAGCTATCCTGCGAGGTTGTCTTTCATGGATCCAAAAGTCCTTCCCTCTAGGACAATGTGTTTCATGATTGAGAAATCCTTTTCGACAACAGATACGTGAGAAACTGTTCAACACATTATGTTACTGTTTTCCAGCTATCCATAGACAATCTTCACTCCTTTAATCCAGTTGTCATTATTTTGCAACGCTACAGCATATTTGGTGTCAGAACTTCATTGAATAAGAGTTTTCAATAGCTCCAGCTAACAGCTTTTCACTGCGGCGTAAGTGGTTTCGTCATCAATTCGTATTGAACAACATGATACAAACAGAAGCACTCACCGACGCCATATGCCACCAGCTCTCTAGTATCTCAAATATCAAAGAGGGCAAATCACAACGCAAAATAAAATGACTACAATTTTCCCAGTAATGTCCACCACAGGCAAGGCGCGATCAAATATTGCAATGTCGATTCCAAAGGCAGATATTAGGTTGCAACAGGGACAAAAACCCCCAAATCCTACTTGCTTCAATTATCCAGTAGACTCGCCGAAATCAAGCTGCGGGAAAAAGGAAAAAAACAAGCAAACTCGCCTCAAGCAAAAATACAAAAACTGCAAGGCGATCTTTGTACAGAAACTACGAATCGCTCGAATACTACTATTAAGAGCCAAGGTAACGCTTACAATGACTTGCGCCTTTTTGAAAATGGCAGGATCGGCGTCGCCCTCGGCGTCCATAATGGCGTTGACGACGGACTCGAGCACTTCGACATCTTGCTTAAAAGTCCTGTGCAATCCATTGGTGAGTGAATCATCATCATCCTCGTGCTGTTCCATTGTCGATCCAAGTGAAAAACTGCTGGGTCGACCTTGAACTGTTAGTTCTCGAATGCCCTCTGCTTCTCAGGCGCTCACCCTGTCTTGCAAATCGAAGCAGGTGCAGTTCGGGGAGTTGCTCTTCGTGGATGAACGTCGTTGCAACATCGTCGACGGTATCACTTCTCCGGCCAGTCGTCGACGGCGATCACCTGTGCCCAAGGTTTTTCGATGTTCGACACTGGGTTGTCTATTGCGATTGAAGCATATTCACACGTGCAAGGACCAGTTTCAAGGTAAAATAAAAAATGAAAAATAAATTGAGGGACGCACCTTCAATCCTGATTCAGGGCACTTGGGCCGTCTTCACATGCCTCGGCCCAGCACTACCTTTGGGTCTTCACCCTTCCTTTCCCAAACATGCATCGATTCGTCTTTGTCTGTGAAGAGATGAGGAAAGCCTCAGCATACATCTGCATCGACTTTGAGAATCTGCTCATAAATGTCGAATGGAAAAAAACATTGCGGGCATGTACAGGGTAGGGCATCAATGTTTGGACACCTGCTGGGGGCTGTTGAGATCTGCTTATTCACTGTGCAAAGCACATCGAGTTCTTCGTCTAATTAACAAAAGAGATCGACATACATTTCAAAATTATGAAGGTTTCTCGTGGAATTGTTTCCCATTGCAGAGCCAGGCGAGCATTTCAAGAGGAAGACAACGATTTGTGTGGTAAATTGGTTGCGAAAGATGAGTGAAAGCACCGAAAGATTCTCTTGAAGGATGCAAAATGCAAGTGCATCTTCATAAAAAAGAAATAGTTCTTTACTGAAATTTTCTACAACCTGGAATTAGTAGCCGCTTAATGGCGGAAAATTTTACCCCTCATATATATGCCCATTTCCCTGCACCCAAATTCTGTCCAAATCCTTCATATTCTCAACTGTGTGGAGCTTATTTTGATCAACAGCACGGCAATTTCGACACACATATTTTAGAGAAGTCTGTGAGTAAATCGTCGCCATGCCTTCACATGAGCCAACGTTGAATTTACCTAATCCATGGGCAGCCGTTGGACGTGATACAGAGGCTGGTCGAGCACTCTTCGCCCTGTACAATGGTTTTAGCCATGCCAGAAACCGCGGAAACGATTACTCAGAGATTAACAAGATAAAGACCTTGAGGCACACTGCAACGCACGGGGTGCCAGAATTTCCTGCAGCCAGACCTCCTCCGTCAAAGAGACCTGAAGTGAAGGTACCGCACTTTGCTCACAGAAGCTGCTCTTCCGAATCTCATCCTGTGGATTTTATTCCACGCAGACGGAGAGCTTCTGATATTTTGCAACGAATTAGGGATGAGTCGTACATTGCGGAACTTCCTCCAATGCCAAAAGGCCCTCTCTTAGATGAAGCAGAAAAGGCGCGTTTGCAAGAGGTCTTCTACTGGAGCAACCGTAACCTCGGACCCGATCCACCAGTAGCAGAGCCAGTGCGCAGAATACCCAAGAAAGGCTCGATAGAGGAACAGGAGCTGCTTTTGAACGATATTTCGCAAGAAATCGAGGACCGCAAGACATTCCTCACCGAAATGGAAGAATATGGCAGGGGTGAGCAATATCGCGGTCAAATCATGTTCGAAATTCAGCAGCGCGTGGAGCAGATGAAGCTTTTGCACGAAAACATCATCAAATATGAGAGGAAGCAGGGCTTAATGCAAACCAAGACAGAAGCAGCTCCACCTCCGAAAGTTCTCACTGCAGAGACAATGTCAGTTCATCAGGATCAAGAGCAAAATGCGAATACTAAACTTAATACAGCATCACTAATACAATTCGAGAATGATCCTCAATTAGATAGATTCTCAACTTCTACCGACAAAGTTCACACAACCCTCCGCCCATCTTCAAGATCAAGGCGAACGGAGACGCCATGTAGCAGACCATCGCAACTGAAGTCCTCGCACTCGGCACATGTAAGGGCAACTCGGAATGATGTATCCGAATCCTCCGCGCCGAATGCTTATTCACTGCAGCGAACGCCCAAGCCACCATCATTTCCGATTACTGATCCGAAGAAGAGGAACTCCACTTCGAGTGTGTCTAAGTCGAGGCTTCAGTCCATTAGAGCATTTTCGGCCAACTCGGCAAGTCAAAATGGTTCAACTGCGAGAATTTCCTTGACCAGCGACCTCCGAGACAGAGAAAATACTATTGGGCAAGGTGGGAGGAATTCGCATGGCCATAACGATGGCAATTCGGTATACATGACAGACACGACTTTGAATTCAAATAAGGATTATTCATCGGGACCCACTCCTTCGACTTATGATTGCTCAACAGTAGTTTGCTCGCCAACCAGTTGCTCACCAGTGCATTCACCCCGCGATTACAATAACTACATTCAAAACTACAATAATCAAGAATGCGCGCGAGATTACAATCAAAGTTGACTAGAGCTCGTGCCAAGCCTCAAGAGAGGGAGAAAGAAACCTGCTGATTAGTATCAGGTGTACTCTGCTCTTGTCAAGTGGAATACTAGTGCTATCTTACCATCTTTCCATCTGGATATGCTGCCCCTGCGTAACTTTGTGGGTATCAACGTGCACGTCACTTTTAGTCCATGCCCATTTTCTTGCGTTTGCGTTGCCCTGCTTCATTGATTAAAGTTTGTTTCATGCTGCATTTGCACGATCTGCAACTGTGTCTAAGAGGGTTCGGAAATTCGTAGGCCAAAGCAACTGGATCAGAAGAGTGTAATCACCGAAGAGTCATCTGCAGAGTGTTTCTTGTGGTAGTCCATGATAATAACCTAACTATTGCAAGTGAAGAAATGTCCAACTTTCTGTCAAATTTAGCGAAATCGTAATAAGTGTGGTTGCCCTCATGTGTGCTAGTTGAGGTCGAGAAGGCCCCGATCGCTCTCTCCCTAGCCAACCTCAACCTACTGATTTGAGAGCCTAGTAACACACATCACTTTGATTTCAAGTAGTTTTCTGTTGTCGCGGCAGCAATCGTGCACTTCTGATTTGTTTCAATCAGGAACAACGTCTTCGACGGGCAAACACCTTCATTATCTTTTTGCGGTGAGGTATGTATTTGTTGTTGGTGCAAACCTTCTATCAAAAAGCACACAATGATCTTAAAAACTAGTCCAGTTTCCATTTCCTTTTCGTCCTTCCGCCGACTTTTGCAAATCCCAAGTGTCATGGACGTTTCGGGAGCATTCTCGATACGTGACGAGAGATTCGATAGAGACAAGGTTGCTGTAGTCACAGTTTGAAGAGAGATTGAGCAGTAGTGGATGGGATTGGCGATGAGGAGGGTTACGTTTTTATTAGCTGATGGGCTACGTTGAAAACACTTGCATCTCAACAGCCTGTGAGTGGGGTTGATATGAGGAAATGAGTGAAGTCAGCTGCTGGCGGTAATTCGTCAAAAATTGAAGTTCTGGCTTCTGCATTTTGCATTTAAGAAGGCGATGATGAGGAGTGAAGTGCAGGGCAGAGAACATTGGTTGCGCAATTAGTCCTTCTTTCTAACAGAGAACCCATTGGAGGGGAGAGCGGTTGAAGCGCTCTTCGTTTGCGACCCCGGTAGACTATTCCTGTTAAGATTCTGTATGTGTAGTTTTTTTTTCTTTTTTTCTTTTTTTTCTTTTTTCTTTTGTGTGTGTGTGTGTGTGTCCTCTTCTTCAAGGAATTGTGGGTTGGTATGGTTACGGGGGGAAGAGAGTGATTTTAAAATGAGAGTATCAATTGTGTCGAGCAGTTTCTCTGCGTACGTTGATAACCAAGTTGTGTACAAGATAGTCAACCTCAGAAATTGGGCGTGTGTAAGATTCATACCGGTGTTAATACAAGTTTTTAAGACCTAACTCTTATCTAGTATTCCTCACGCCAGCCTGTGGTTGCCAGCCTCAAGCCACGACTTTGAATTTCACTTACACTTTCTGGTCTTGATTTCGTTGTGAGATTATCTCTGTATCTGACTCTTCCTGCAATGTTTGAAACTTTCGACAGTTTTTTTGTATTCCTCTTTTACTGTGGGATTCTTTTAAAAGAGTAAGAGCGTTAGGGTGTCTCAGCGTCTCAACCGGATGTGGTTCAGCACGTCTTGTGTTTTGAAACCATAAGCTTGCAGTGTTATTATCCTGTCGGCAAATGCTGCTCACCATTTCTGTCATATCGAAACCGTCTTAAAGTGGACTTTACACTTCACTATTAAGTTTTAGACTTAAGAGTATGGGCAGGTTTTAGATAAGTACTTTGCGCCGGTGGCGTTGTTCTATCAAAACACTCCGATTTGTCGCTATGCAAATTTGGAGCCTGATGTCTCCACATGTGAATGAATTGGAGGTCCTCAACCAGTTAAGTGTTATTTTCGAGCTACACACGAGTGTACTCGCAGGAAACATTTAGTACACTTAGAGAGCTCTGAATTTGGTTACAACCATGCTGCAAGTTATTGCAGAAAGTCATGAATACTGAAAAAGTTTCACGTTGTTACTATGTATCGGTTCCGCATGCGACATCATTATTGTTTATTGTCTTATTACTGTCAAAAATTGCGAAATCCATATCAGTTCCAAAATGTAAATTGTTCTTAAGTGGATCTTGCAGATTTCTAGGTCATAACAATGGAAACATTTTAGATCATTGGCTTTGGCCTTTGTTTTCGACTGGAGAAGAACGATGGAACTCAGTAGCAAGTCATTGTTCACTTACCAATCTTCTTCAGCAAATCCCTCGGTACCTTTCAGAAAATTGGAAGTCGGAAAAGTACACAATTCTGGTGATTACAAGAAGAGAACTGTAGGGCAAGAGATACTGTAAACTGTAGCATGTTTCCAAGTCTGACTTAGAAGAGCTAGGGGGAAAACTTGAGCTACAGAACATAAGAAGTTGATCAGCTTGCAGCCCTCGTCCTCAAATATAAGCAAGTTGCCAAATATTAAGACTTCAGTGTTCATGGGGCTAACACCAAGTAGACCAAGTTCACACTCCTTGAGTGTAAAGAAAACTTCAAGGTTGTTATTGTCTTGGTATTATTTAGATTTGAAACCGAATAGCATTACTTCGAATGACTTTCATACTGATCGAAACCAATGGTCTTCGCCCTGTGCGTCCAGGCTGTCTCCGGGTGCACGATCAGAGGGAGGAACTGAAGCCCTGAAAGAATCTTCGAATCTAGCGGATAGCCTTGCGTTATCTGATACCGAAGAGTCTCGTGCTGAATCACCTTCTTTATCTGAAACTCTGAGATCCTTACGACAAGCGTTCGTAGTTCCAAGACGGAAAGGAAAATCTGCTAAGAAAACTTTTGCTACCTCCAAACCAAGTGTTCAAGAAACTCTCCAACAGCCGGAAACACCGCCATTTGTGGCAGACTCTGGAAGTCCTCAAGTCAGATCTAAGCTTCTCGACGAACTACATCATCCGTTAGAAAATGAGGATGGGAGAAGTGGAGGAGCAACAGCAGACAAACTTGTAGATAGTGATGAAGCCAAAAAGATGATAGAACGTTAGTGGGATCAAAGACCCCAGGGTATGCACAAGCTATTTCCAATATGGTGAAGCAGAGAAGTCAGGGTGTCGCAGTGGAAGGTGAAGCATTTTCTTATGCAGTCGACCCTGATATGTTGTCACCTGGGGAGTATGTTGTGCACAAGCGGGTTGGAGTAGGATGTTTCATTGGCATCAAATACGAGGTGCCTGCAGGGAAATTGAAACCCGCTAATTATATTTACTTGAAGTATACCGACGGAAAAGCAAAGCTGCGGGCAAAACAGGCAAATAGACATCTCTATAGATATTTTTCTCCTGCAGATGTGAGTCTCGCACCTTCTCTAAGCAAGCTAAATGATCCCGGGAATTAGGAGAAGAAAATGAATAAGGGCAAGGTAGCAATACAGAAACTTGTGGTCAACATGATGGAGCTCTTATCCATCGCTTGAAGCAGACCCGACCTGTTTATCCCAAAGACTTGAAATTGATCGCTTCTTTTGCAGCCAACTTTCCATCCACTGAAACACTTGATCAGCAGCAAGCAATTGCAGACGTGGAGAGGGACATGACAAAGAGGGAAACGCCCATGGATCGTCTCATCTATTGTGACGTGGGTTTCGGTAAGACGGAAGTAGCACTTCGTGCATTATTTATAGCTGATTCCGCAGGTAGACTAGCAATGGTGCTTGCTCCGACCACTGTTTTGGCTAAGCAACACTATGATGTTATTCGCCAACGGTTTGCTGGGTACGACACGAAAGTGGCTCGCTTGAGTCGTTTTAAGAAGGACTGGGAAAAGAAGGAGGTCATAGCTGGTATTTCTGATGGAAGCCTTAGCATTGTTGTTGACACTCATTCTCTCCTCGGGAGCCAAATACGATATCACAACCTTGGCCTTCTGATTGTGGATGAAGAGCAGAGATTTGGGGTCAAACAGAAAGAGAGAATCACTTCCGTGAAGACTACGGTTGATGTTCTGACGCTATCTGCTATTCCAATCCCTCGCACTTTGTATTTGGCTCTCAGTGGCTTCCGGGATGCAAGCCTGATAACCACCCGGCCGGCGGAGGGGCGACCTATCACCGCTCATTTGAAGGAGTTCAATCCCTACATAGTTAAGAAGGCCATTGACTTTGAACTAAAACGTGGTGGTCAAGTGTTCTATGTGGTGCCACCAGTGAAGGGTATGGAAGAAACTAAGGCTATTCTAGAATCTTATTTCTCAGACATTGGAATTGGTTTGCTCACGGCCAGCAAAGCCCAGCTGCTTTGGAGGCCCATGGAGCAGTTCAGCAAAGGAACCTACCTTATCCCCCTCTGCCCCAGTATCATGGAGAGTGGGCTGGACATACGTCGGGTGAACACCATCATCATTGAAGACGTTCAGCTATTTGGTCTAGCGCAGCTCAATCAGCTGCAAGGAAGAGTCGGAAGGTCCGATAGGGAGGCCCATGCTTACATGTCACACCCCTCCAAAGACCTTCTCTCAGACGATGAATAGGAACGCTTGGTTGCCCTGGTAGATTACTGTGGCCTAGGTTTCCAGCTTGCCGAGCGTGACATGGCCATCCGAGAAATTGGCAGTGTATTCAAGGAGAAACAAAGTGGGAATGTTGCCAAAATTGGCGTGGATCTTTACCTTGAAATGTTGTTTGAGGGCCTTTCGAATGTTGATCATCAAAAGCTCCCTCAGGTTGCGTTTGAGGAGGTTCAGCTGGATTTTGCATGAAGCACGCATATTCCCAGGGACTAAGTGACAAGAGCTGCATTACGGGACAATGTTCTGCGGGATGCTGAAAGAGCAGCCAACGACAGCATGAATGCTCTTATGCAATTCACGCATCGTCCACGGAGTGAGTATGGACCGGACCCTTCCTCAGTGGAGGTGCTGCTCAAAACCTTGTACGTGAAAAGGATAGCAGCAGACTTGGAATCCATCGTATCCGCACTCGTGGCAAGACAATGGAAACCAACATGGAACCGGAGGCCTTTGAAATGCTACGTTGCGCCACAACTTCCGTTTCTGTCCACGATTCTCTTACATGTGAAACTGGTAGAATTAAAATGAAAGGCCTCATAGGATTGCCCATAGAACGTCAACTGGATCGGGTGTTCTGTTGTTTGGCAAAAATTTGCGCAACCGCCTTCCGTCTTTTGTGAAGTACATGTGAACGAAGGTGATGTAGCGAATGTATATTAAGATGTTGCAGCTATATCCTTAGAACTACGAGGCAATTTACATTGATCAATAGTCTCCATCTGATTCTTTGCCTGACTGGGCTGGAGTCCCAACAGTTGGCGTGGTCATTGACGTCGAAGCTGGATCGCCCACTGTTCTTCCAAACAAATTCATTGCATTAATTTTAGAGCTAGATGGGAAGAAATTGTTGCTTCTTTAAAGCTCTGACAAACTTACCTATCTTCTCTCCTCACTAGTTACAATCGTCGGTACCTTGCTGGTTCTGCTGACACCCGAGCTTGCAGGATGAGACAGAAATGTATGGAATCTAAACAGGGAGCTGTCAACCCCAATTCAGCTCCAAGTCAAAAATGCTAAATACTGGGATGAAATCCGTGAGCTTTTGAATCTTTTTTTTTTTTTGGAGACGGTAGCACATGCGTATGTGTACTTTTCATAGAGATTCTTGCTGATTACCTCAAATGCGCTAGTGTATTTACTGTGCATTTTTTAATGAGAAACTTTTTTTAGAAAGAGGAGAATATCCTTTTACAGTTACCAAAATACCTCTAGACTATGGAAGGCAACTGCCTTTGCCTTCCCACAACACTAGAGAGGTTCCAATACACACTTTGTATCTGTTGATATGGATCGTTCTAAGTGATTCATACTAGCAGTAAAATAGAATGAACTTTGGTTAAACTGGGTGCGTAACATTGTTGAAGCACAGTTTAAGAATAAATAAGCTTTAGAATTTTAAGAGAATTTTTATGCTATTGAACTACAATATATAAGTTCATACATGTTCGATAATTATTAGAATATAATAAAGGAGGAAATTAAATCTTTAAAAAAAATGTTTCAAAGATGTCACAAACACAGTGAATATAACATGTATGAAATTAACAAAGAATATAACATTATCTTAAAAGAAACTTTGTTCTTTAAAGATAGATTGACATTTTTTGTTTGGAAGCTATGGTTTCATAATCATGCATCGGTTGCTTTTAAATCCTCAGTTTCCTGAAACTCAAAAACACAAAATAAAGAAAAACATCATTGGGGAGAGGCAACTTCACAAGGGAATGGAACCATGTGTATTTTTTTTCAGAATTGTTTTGGAAGTCATTTCCCTCAACTGATCCCTACTATGAGCCCAATTCAACGTACAAAATCAAGCACTTCCAACCAAAGAATGTAATGCAAAACAAAGGAGAGAGAAGAAGCAATTACAGCATCCATTGGCAACACTAGAATGTCAAGTTTCATCAGACAAGTGAGTGCGAAGGCTCCAAAGCTGCAAGCATGGATGGAGTAGTAGACCTAGTTTGGGTTCAAATCTTGTGGAACTGAGCGTTGCAGCCATGGCAACAGAATGCGATGCAGCTCACAAGAATAGCACACCATGACCCAGTCTTGTGCTGCTTGTGCTTTTTCAAGACGGCATTGAAGCTGCAAACGAAACGACGATGAAGAAGAGGAATAGAAGATGGCAGGATTCGCAGGCTAGGTGGCGATGGTGGTGGAGAAAGCTGGGGAGCAGTGAGACATGGCGAGGGCGACGAGTGTGAATAGCGGCACCAGTTTCTGACTCAGCCCAGATATCTTCGATGGCGGCGCCGCGGCCAGCTCGTGTTTCCCACTCAGCGTCTCGACGTTGTCGATCATGGGCCCATACTTCTCCGACATGCTCTCGAACTTGATCACCGTCGATACCCCCGTGCCTGTGTACACGAAGCTCTGCTTCGTCCACGTGATCTGCGACCTCGAGTCGGTCATGTTATACACCGGCTGCTTGATCGCATATTCGCGAACAGTGCCACCTTGGATGTTCGACACCTTCAGCGCCGGCCACAGGTTCATGGGGGCGTCCGGCATCCGAGCCACGTCGTAGTGCACCGTGTAGGTCTTGCCCGTCTCCGCGTTGGCGGCCAGCGTCGTGGATATGGTTCCTTGCGTGCCGTTGATAATGGCATCGGGGTTGTTCAGGTGGATGCAGTACACGCTGGGCGTGCCCTTGGCCATGCTATAATTGGTGTTCACAAGAATCTGAACGCCAGCGCCCCCAGCTATCCAGTTGGGGATGGAGGTCGACGTGCTGTCCGCCAAGGTGGTAGTCATTGCCGTTATATTAGTTAACTCAAAATCGCCGTTCGCCAGTGAGATCGTGTCGCCTGATGATTTCGGCGCCGGAGCAGCGGAACTGCTAAAGGTGCTAATGCCATCATCTTGGAACTGCAATTCGCCTACGGTCTTCACTACATCCGAGCCCAACTCTCCGGAACAGCTAGACGTGCTCACCCAGCACACCGCCCACAGGAAAACCACGCTTACAATCATGGTCGTCGGTGACCTCACTCCAGACATGGTGTTCATTCCTCTGCATCACAACCATGCATCAGCGTTCCAAAACTTTCTTATTACGTCTTGCTTGAGTTTGTGTCAGCGTAGTTTTTCAATTACGTCCATCAGAAGTTGGACATCTTCATGAATATAACGAAGTCCATTTTTGTCATGCTGAGGAATGTCTCAGAAGAGTAAGACTTAAGAAGGAAGTGTAGAGCTATGGAAGGGCAGAATCAGCAGAATCAGAGACATACATCGCAATAAAGTTCAGCGGCATATACTAATCACACATTGAGAATTTCCATACATACACTAGGCAATGGACCCGCGAATAATCGTAGCTTCATGAAGCTATATAAGTAGGTCCTGATCATTGCCAGCAATTCGAAAATTCTATGGTAAGACAAGTTAGTGATGGAAAGTGTTCATTACTTTGGACACATCGATGATGAATGTCTCCGCCTTCGCACAGATGGCTTCCAATTCTGCAAATATCCTGATCCTGACGAACAGTCAATGTTCCTTCCCATGTCAATAATATCTTTTAAACTTTGTAATTTCGACAAGCTGAAGTTCTTTAGAAGAGGAAAATATTTTCACGTCTGGAATAGGACTTTTATGAAAGCAATTGCTCGATTATTTTACCTCAAAAGAACAAATCGTTCATACAATTTTTTTCTATCTGAAGCCCACATCCACCGTCAAGAGAATCAATTTATTGTTTAGATCCTCTTATATTCTGAATCTAGTGACGCTTCTGTCATAATATCGCAGCGCTAAAATGCCAGCTTTCTATCATATTTTCTGTCCGAGTGAAAAACAAGTCTATGACGAACTCGGCCAACACACGCTTGAGAGGCAGAAACAGACCCTGCAACAACGTCAGGCTAATCACAATTTGGCGCTCCTAGTCATAGAACTTCTGAAAACTGAAGTGCTTCTGAACGAAACATGCATAAGTCGAAGACTATCCAGTCCCTGTCATCGGGCAAGCAAGAGAGGTTCTAAACCAGGGCGTGCCTGATCCGATCTCATTAGCAACGCTCATGACCCACCTTCCGGAATCTCTGCACATGGCATCTCCTGGAAACATCACTGTGAAGGACTTGCAGGAGACTAAGATCTGCATGCGATTGGCGACCTCACAGTGAACAAGCTGTTCTCATGTGGGGCACCGGAGACACCACGTAACATCACCAGTAACTGTTGCTTCTTATGCAGCATGTCCTCCCTGCAACTGCCGCACAAAGAACAGTGATGGTTCATGTGATGCCCCCTAGAATCTCATAACCGACACTTGCAGGCTCAGACAACAGTGAGGATGGCCTATTGATGAGTGGCAGCATTGTAAAAAACATTCGGCGTGGTTTTTAGGATTCTGATTGACCTTAGAATCGGTGTTGTGTTGCTGCAGACTAACAAATGCGAAGGAAAACTGGTTTGGACTCAATACTTGTGTTTAGGAATCATGTTAAAATGGCAAATGAGAACATGAAATCAGTAACCAAGTAGTGATGTTAATAACCGAGTGCTTTCCACTTCTGTATATTGTGTTTGAGAGTTGTAGGAGACTTGAGCAAGCTCTTGGCGAGATACTAGAATTGGTGGCTCTTGGTGATGTGTCTAGGTATTGGTGATGTGAGGTTGGTGTGGGTTTGCATAACCTCAATTAATTAACTGCTTATTTTAGGTTCTTTTTCCACGAGTCTTATCATGTGAAATTCATTTATGAAAATATTTTGGTTTACTTCCAAATTACACTTTAAAACTCATGACTAAAGAAAACAAGCTTTGAGCACAACATGATTTTTTAATAATGAAAAAAGGTTAAATATATCATTTATTATATTATAAATTCAAAATAATAATAATAATAATTGTAGGATATATGCTAGTGAAATCAACAATCAATTGTAGTAGTAAAATTTGCAAATTTAATAATTAATAAATTTGAGTCTCATGCCTAATTATTATCTTTCAAGTCACATTAAGACAAATTCTTTTTAAATTCAATAGATTATGCAATCAATGTAGTACTATATCTGCTAAAACAAAAATATTTAATTTACATAAAAATATATATTAACCATATAAATAATGATGATATATATATATATATATATATATTAAAAACAACATAGTTTTAATATCCAAAGTTTTATTATCATATTAACAATGATGTTATTATTTTATACATATTTTTATTTATAATTTAATTTTAGCTCATTTTGTTACTCCAAAGATTTGTTATGCCAAAATAAGACTTCATTAAGAGAATGAGATAGATGAATGATTTATTTTTATTATGCTATCATCAATCCAAGACTTCTATTATAGAGTCTTTATATGTTAGAGACAAGGTGAGAAGCCACATTTTTAAATCGTTTAATTGCTTGAAATCAAGAAACCTTACTAAGTTGGTTTTACAATAAAAATATGTAGTTCAAAAATCTTGAGAAGAAAACCTAAGATAGAATGCATTCTTGCCTTATACAACATAGATAGTATTGTCCATGGAAATTTCAATTGAATCTATCTCGAAAGGTATTTTTTCAGAAAAAATTGAGAAACAGTGTCAAAACATCTTTACACAACCAGTAAGTAATAGAAAAAATCATAAAACCAACTTTTTTGTACTAATCACAATTCTCAGAATGACGATATGGATTGACAAAAGTACACTTGTAATAAAAGAATGACTTGGTTCATGTCATGTTTTCTTTTCACTTTGTACTATCCGAAGACCCAGACTTTTGAACCAGAGTTTTTCTTCACGCAACAAGTAATATTAACCAATTATAATTAAACAAATAAATAAATAACTATGCCCTTTCAATTTCGTATTCTAGGCATGAAAACACCAGCCATTTTCATTCAATTGTTCCAATCATTTTCACACAATATGCGATTTCAGTAAAGGAGAATCTCATTCGCAAGCTTTGGCTCACGGCATAAAAGCCACATATCGATATCAATGGTTTGAAAGAATAAGACACGTCACTTCGGATTCAGCTCCACGACTCTTTCATTATTTCCATCGTCATTGCACTAATTCGGCCACAATCCGGTTGACTCACTCATTGTCACAGTTCTAAGCATCTGCTACAATAGTGTAGAGAGCGCACGATAGCACTGCAAATAGGAGACAATGGATAACCACATTTCATATCAGTGCGGTCCGAAACAGTAAGAAACTGCCGGCTTTTCATTGAATTAGGATAAGGATTTCGTGAAACAGAAAAATGCGTATTACTCTACCACAAATCGCCAAAATGTCCGCAGACATTACAATTTCTAAGCAGTTCAAGACGTTTTGAACAAGTCCATCACGGTAGGCTATGTACTCCCTACTGACAACCTACTTTGTTTGAATGCCGTTCGAGTAATTTGTACACGTAATTGAACATCTTAACAATATCTGCCTTGAATAGGCATTTGAGGAGACATCATCGCAGTGGTCTTCAGATGCAGGGCGGTACCTTGCACAACGATGCAAGCCGTTGATGCGAAGAGCATTACCAATTCGTGCTCTACCACTCTAGATACTACATGGCGCGAGTCACAGTTTCAGTGTGTGAACCAGTGCGCTTCGCTGACTTTTTTTCACGTCGTTCGTTCACTTTGAACGAGCTGGTCAGCTCTCATCTTAGCTTGGTATTTTGCTCTGCAAGCCTGCAACTTGAAACAAACTCAATCAAAACGTATTATATATCGTTTAGCGAGAAGAAACACCCAGCCAGGTTAGCTAACAGCAAGTTCAAAATTGCGCACGGCACAGCAAGCAAGGAAATTGCACCTTAGTAGTGGAATGAAAAGGATGTTGACAGTAACGGTTGCGGTGATTGTAGATTTAGAGAAATATCTTTTAGCGGAGAAGAAACAGGTGTGATATTTTTCTTAATTATCGCTTCTTTCACTTGTTTCCGAAGCTTGCGCAGGCTCTTCGGGACCTCAGTTCCAACCTTCCTGCCAGAGTTCTCCTTGTCAGCTTCACCAGCACAATACGTATTCGTCCCAACAGAACTGAGTCTGAGGGCAACCTGGTTCGCACCTTCGTTAAGCTCGTTGTTGCTGCTTCCACAGTCCAACCCATTCTCCATATACAAAAGCGACGGACATCGGAGTGGGGAGTTGTCTACCAAGTGGGCTAGAGAAGGACTCTTCACTGGAGAGATTGAATCCTCTCCCATGTGGCTGACCAAAGGGCTCTTCATTGGGGAGCTATCTTTCATGTCTGCTAATGAGGGGCTCTTCACGGGCGAGGATGGGTCATCGCTGTAATTTGCCAGGCGTTTCAGAGATTCTGGCTCTACTGCATCAGAAACGCCTTTTTTCGCTAAGTCAGTGTCCACGTAAACCTCAAGAACGGGAGATCTAGCCTTGGCTTTTGTCCTTTTGGTCTTCGCTTTCCTCTTTGCTGTTAACGCCTTCTCGGTGACTGCCTTGGGCTCGACACACTCAGGCTCCTTGTCCAGGTTAGCAGAGTGTCCCTGGTCAGCTGTAAAACCCAAACCTATTAGAATACGACTCCTGTTAAGTGGGCAAGGAATGGAAGGTTCAACGCTGTCGAAGTCGAATTGAGATAAGGCGAGAGATTGTACCGAGTCCAATAGTTCTACCATCGTGGGGATCTACTTCAGAGACTGTTGCTGGTGCAGCTTCAATCTCAACTGGAGGATTCGTCGAACGAGCTCCTTTCTTCGACTTCTTGCCTTTCCTGGTTGCCGGCTTAGGTTCCTTGACGGAAGACTTTATGATTTGAATATCATCTGAGCCAATGTCAAAAATCAGCACATTGTTACCCATTACGTTAATGCTCGCACATTACAGTCACATGACATCTCTGCTGCTGAAGGGAGAAGAGAAAACCAGTTCGTAAAAATTGCCAAGATGATCGATTTCGGTACCGCAGAGCTCCTCTTTATCGAACGCCGCCGGAGAAGTCTCCACCTCATTCGAAGGTAGTGCAACACAGGATCCATTCTCTGCCTTCATTCCTTTCTTAGATGTCAGATTAGGTTCTGCGGCCTTCTCTTCTTGCAGTGCGTATATCACGGCTTGACCTAGATCTGGTAGAAACAATAGGCGTACATCACGTAAATTAACTAGTATGTCGCGAATACGTCACGACAGCTTGCAGCACTAAAAATATCAAGAGGTAGTTACCAAAGTGGAAATCCCCAACGTCATTGAGCCGCCTGTCGTTATCAATTGCAGGAGCTTGTTCTGAAGGTAATGCAGCAGGCGCTACTCTCCTCGCCTTCCTGTCTCCCTTATTCGCAGGCTTGGATTTCTCAACCTCGTGAGCTTGAGACTCAGTTAGCATTTCCTGGGACTGAAGCGGTCCTGAACGAAGGCACAAGCGGGTGTTAGATCATGAATGATGTAGTGACTGGACGCTGGAATGCCTAACGTCCAGAAAAGGCCTGAGAAGGAACCATATGTAGGGATTAACACTACCATTGAGTCGCACGTTCTCTGGAGCTGCATGGAATGTCTTCATCTCAACCGGTGATGGGGCTACAAGGGCCCCCTTCCTGACTCTACCACCTCCTTGAAGTTTACCTTGATTAGCTCCAGATTGAATGATGGAGACGGCTTCGGGTGCAGCAGGAATGTTCATACTAGTTACCGGTAACACGTTCACAGCAGCCTTCTTCCCGGTCACAGTTCTCTTGGCTGTAACCCTGCGCGACGAAACCTTCTGTGAAGTTTTTTTTCCAGTGATTTCCTCTGAAGGTGTGAGGGATGGTGCAAGTCTACTGAGGGTGCCTTCAGGCTGCACGGCATCTACCACTTCAGCCAGAATGACATTTTCGGCTTCAGTGGGCTGGTAGGTACCCTGCATATCAATTTTATTGCCTCCGACTCTGCTCTCAACTTTCAAGACTTTAGCATCTGCCAGACATGCACTGCCCTCATTTCTGTCCTCGAATTCCACGGAATCGAATAGTCGTTGTGAACGATCGCGTCGAATTGCGAAGTCTACCTCTGCCAGGACTTCGGGTTCATCTTCTTGGGTAATGCTACTTGCCGCATAGTCACTTCCCGGACTATCTGGGGCAACAGCAGCCTTGACTAAAGCTCTGGCATTCTTCGACTTCAGAGCGGGCTTCTGCATACCCAGGCAACTACGAATGAGCAGGATTGCAGCATTCTGAAGGAAACTTGATGCCACTAAGGAGAAGCACGCAAAAGAGAGGAGCGTAAGGTTTGACAGAAAGACCACCGGGGTTCTATCACTTACTCTGGCGGCACGGACTGTGAGTCTCGCCTTCTCTACCGCAGAAGATTTGATAGTGGGTATGTTTTCAGCAGCTGTCAAGCTTGATAGAGGTACAACCATGACCCTAGCTGAGACTCTTTTCATACGCGGCTTCACTGCGCTGCACATGTCTTCGATACCAGAATCAACTTGGTTTTTCCTGTTATTTGCATCGGGTGATTTGATGAAGACATCTTCAGAGTCACCTGATTGCACACGACGGCAGGAGAGCATGGACGAATTGCCAGTCAGTGAGGATGTGGGTTTGGCTCCGACAGTGATACCAGTAGGGGTTTCTCTAAGTCATGCAATTCCCTAACGACAGAGTTCGACGGCCTGGTGTTTCATCTAGTAACTTTAGTGAAAATTCGGACAAAACGATGGACCTGACGAATGTACCTGTATCAACGACAACCTCCATGGACTCCTCAATTATCTCCGTCGAAGCATCCTTCGTAGGAGCGTTGACCTCTGTTGCCTTCCCTTTCTCGGCGACCTAACAGAAATTTACAGCCGTCGAGAGTCAGTTCCAATGTATGTGATGTGTCCCCAAGACTAACAGAAAACGTGTTAATAATGCGTGAGCTTGAAGGCATCCGCTCAATCCCAGGTAAGACTACGCACAATTTCAAGGACAGAAGAACTAAACAAATGAGCGCTGCTACACAATGCTCTTGAAGATTGCTGACGGGAAACATTCCGAGGTACCACGATGCAACTGATGACATACACTTATCCTTGCAGAGAAGATAAATGTTGTCCAACGAACCCAACGAGATTGACTTCCGCAAAACTTACACTCAGCAGGGCAGTCAAAGAATCAGCCATGAACACATTGGTTTTATTAGCCGGAATCTTGTGCTGCTTGCACAATGCCTGAAGCTCCCGGCGGCTGAGGGCGTGATAGTTCATGCTTACCAGCTAAAAATCCAGCAAACTTAGCTACACTGCACAGCAAAATAACCTAAAAGACAGACTGCAACTCGTCCTTCGCTGGAGATTGAGATCCCTCTCAAGAAAGATTACAAGCGACAGGAAACTTCGAAAGAAGAGCCACGAATCAAAAATTCGAGATGAGTGCGTAGACAAACACCTAACAACACAACTTACCTTGCTACACTAAACACAATACGTGACTAAATCACAATGCGATTCATGACACAATCACACGACCACTACCCACTAAGAAACTCGGCACTGCAACTGAACAAAAGTCCTGCTCCCACAAACTAGCTACGGACCGATGTCCAGACACAGACACAGACAAGACGACGAAGGCGACGACGACGACAACGAGGTGGGGCTGGCCGGAATACAACCTCGGGGGGTGCTCCGTTGAAATTTGAACCTAGCCCTACCGAACCTGGCGCCTGACCTGTCCGCAACGTAGTCCAGCTCAGCTACGCTTGCAAGCTAAAGCCAAATTTGATCACCGTGCCTGTTCCCGTAGCGAACGCGAATAGGTGCCTCGGGTGGCCTCCATAGGCGTGGGATGCCGATCGGACGGCTAGAGTTTCAACTGTCGTGGGGATATGAATAGTAACGAGTAGGGTCGTTAGTAACGGTCATACCGAGCCTAGTTGGCAAAGATAAGAGGGGACTTTTTACTTCTATTGCTTCACTTTTGCTTCTCGGTACTTAGCGAGAAATCTATCGAGAGCGAAGAATTCCACAATAATTACTTTAAAGTAGGGATTTGAAAGTTGTCAACCAGTCCACAACACAAAACTGCTTGTGTTTCTTGACCCACTTCAATGGCTGTAGAAAGGGTTGCACTGAAAAAATAACACGAAGCATGGCAAAAGTAAAAGATACGGTGCACAATTAAGCATTCATAGGAAAATTATTAGCTTTGGGTGATTATAAATAATTCAATTAAATCTAAATGAATTTTTTCTTACTAATTTGAAAAATTGTAATCCTTTTTATTTACCTGATCTATGGAGATAGATAAAATAATTTCTCTTGCCTTGCAATTTACTGAGACGTTTTGGTGACATTCTTCAATTTTTTCTTCTTTGAAAATTATTATTATTATTATTATTATTATTATTTTCAAATTATTATCAATAATAATCCTTGAATATGTTTTTTTTCATTTTTTTATTTTTTTAATTATTGCAAACATATGTATCACCATCACATCTAACAACATATAAAAATACAACCAATCAGCCTAAATGTAAATGTTATGATCACATGTTTCTATGATTTTATATGTTACATTTTGCTATAAAATATAAGGTATAATTTTGATATAATTAAAATAATTCAATGTATAAAATACATAGCTGAAACTAAAATAATATTGAATAATATACTACAACAAGTATACAAACAAAATACATATCTGACTATATATTATATATCTAACTTGCAACTTTAAAATGAATATTTATACATTTTATCTAGTGTTTATTAATTTCAAGTAAAGTATTTGAAAAAAATTGATAATTTTTAAAATTCTTCTATTTAATTATGAAATACAATCAGTGCTTGTACTAAAATATAAATTCATAAATGACACATATTGAAATAAATTTATTTTTTAATGTATAAACTACAATTACTCTCATCCAACTTCAATAGCAAAACTAATTATTGAATATTATATTTTATTAAGGATCTAAGTTCATAAAGATATATTTGACCTTGTTCTTTAAAAAAACTAAATATCTTTGTTTGTTTTTTTTTTTAAAAAAATTAAGTTTAAATTATATTTGAAATAAACATTCAGCCAAGACAATAAAAAATGAAAAGTAAGTAGGATACCTACAAATTACTATTAGATGTAACATTTTTTAAATTTTATTTAGCTTTTTAGTCCAACTATTAATATATATAGTTGTAAGTTATTTAAATAAGATACATTTATGAAAGAAGAATTACTAAGTGATATTTTAAATAATAATTTATACATTAAAACATAAAATAGATATTTATAAAATCATGCTTTTATTGTTATTATTAAATTAGTAGATACCAATAAATAAATATATATATACATATATATACGTGTGTGTGAGAGAGAAAGAGAGAGATTTAATATAAAACACATACATATGTTTTTGCATTTATTAAATAAAAAATCCAAATTATGAGATATGAATTAACTTTTTGTATATTCAAGTTAGAAAAAATATTTAAAAAAGATAAGGTAAAAACATACAAGTAAAATGAAACATTCAAATGAAGCAATTCAAAAATTCATTAATATTGGACTTGTACAAATCAAAACGATTAAGTATTGTTATAAGTTGATAACAATTGAATTATATAAACCAAGATAAATTGGTATATAGAAACCATAATACTACAACTGTAAAGATTGAATTAATTATAAATTAGAAAACACCTAATAGTATATTCAATCAATTAAATTTAAAAATCAATTTGTAGTCATAAGCATCTAGCAGAATAATAAATTCCAATGTAGTTTCTATATGGAGGTATATTGTTAATCACTTAATTAATTTTTTTCTTAAACTATTAATACATTGCAAAAATTAAACTGAATCAACTTAAGTAACTAACAAAAATTTATACCAAATTGTGTTGCATAAACATTGAATATTTACATCTATTACATTGATTCAATGTAATAGTTATAAAATTTGATGTATTTGTTTTCTAAAAATCATTAATATGAAATTACAACGTGTATATTTTACATTTAAGACCAATATTTTAAAATAAATGGAAATGAAATTACAAAGGAGTAGTTTTTTTTTTTTTTATCTTTCTATACTAAATCATTAAAATAAATTATAAAAAAAATTAGAAAAAAATATAAAAGAAGGAAAGAAAGAATGAATATATATATATATATATATATACACTAAAAATTACTTATGTATTTATATAAATACAAAATATATAAAATTAAATTTTTGTTGATAAAATCTATTAAAAAATAATTTATTATATCTACTATTATCAATCATTCAAAAATATCATATTAATATATTATAAAATATAATAAATATCATATAATTTTTATGCATGTAATCTTAATTTGATTATAAATTAATATTTATATAAAGACAATATAAAAAGTTGTAATTAGAAAAATACAATATAATAAAGATATATTTATATCTTTGTTAAGCCCTATAAGTAACTAACAAAGAAAAAAATTATGAATTTAATTAATATTTTTCATAGAAATAAAAATATTTAGTGAAAAAAATCATGTGAAACTAGTGGTATTTAATTACAAAACAGAAATTACTTTGAAATTTGAAATAATTTCATTCAAAATTATTTTTGAAAATTTACCCTCTTATAATTTTTGTTTTACACCACAAAACCATTTTGAAATATTAAGTTACAATTTACAGAAAAAAAACTAAGCCAATTAAATACACAATTAAATATGTTTGTACACATAAATAAGTAAATAAATAAATAATATCTCAATTTTGGTTAAAATATTGCAGTGTATTGATATTTGGGTGACATGTTCTAAACCTTGTGTTTTCACAAAAATAACAAAGTTTCGCACTATTACACAAGAGAAGATATTCACCCATTTCTTATCAAATTCGATAGGCAAAGAGAGAGACGCCCTTCGTGGATGAATAACTTTGTGGATGAATGAACCTAAAACTGGATGATTTACAGGGATTGCCAGGAGACTCAGTACATTTATCGTCGAAAGATGAATAACACTGTTAGAAACGGATGAATTTAGGTAGATGGAGAACTTCAGAGCATTAGGGGCGATCTCCGAGCGATGCCGAGCTCCAGAGGTCCTCTTCTTCTTCTTCATTGTTCTCGAGTTTGTTGCGCCGATCCAAGCATTCCATCGCCACATACACACAGACAGCGCCGTGGTGGATTGCTGTAGTGGATGGTTTGGGCACCGCACCGCAGGGCACAATGAGTGGCCATGACGCCAAGTATTTTACCACCACCAAGAAGGGTGAGATCCATGAGCTCAAGGAGGAGCTTAATTCACAGTACAAGGTGAGTTTTATCTGGTTGTTGCCTACTAAGGTTGTTGCCAGTTTTTTGCGTTACGGGGAATAAGGTTGATCTGGACTTTTTCTGCCCTGTTGTTTCTCTGTTCTTTCGATTGAGAGATGTGGAAACTTCGTTGGTGTTGCTATGGCATCGTCTGGGAATATTTTAGGGTTTGATCTACTGGGAGAGGAGATATCTGGCATTAGTGGGGATCTGTGATTTTTCTGAGCGGATCAAGTCAAAGCCCTTCCTGCCTACATCTGTGTACTTTTGGAGCTGGAAGTGTCCTCCGTAGCTTGCTTTAATGATCGTTGTGAAGTGGTGAAAGGAATTGCGGTATGGTTGGTTCGTATCTCAGAGTTGACTCAGGGCAGCGATCAATCTACGTTAGACTGCATGAGTCCCTTCTTGCGATCAGTTCTTTCTCGATGAATGCTCTGATCGGCGAGTACATGCTAGAATGCTGTTCATAAGTTTGTGATGTCGGAAGAGTGTTCTTTGTTCTCTCCCTGGAGATATCTGTTTCACTTTATACCGTACCTTTCTTGCCGTAAGGTCCTGCATTGTGAAATGTGAACCGCCGTTGCAGAACTTGCAGGGACTACATTATTTATGTTTTCTTTTAGTGCGGGGTGGGTTGTGGAAGATCATATCCACCTCCTACAAGAGGCACTTGTCGCGTGCGTAGGCATTTTATATTTATCTCCTGTACTGCGTTTCGTAGTGAGGCGTGTGTGCTTTAAGGTTCCACCTAAATTCGTGGAAATAACTTTTTAATTCATCCAGTTATTTGTGATTTCCTGCAAAACAACAAACCTCTAGTTTGCCGTGCGGTTCTGAAATGTGCAAGTCTTTCTCCTCAACGTTCATGGCTTTTGTAGGAATGTTTTTGTTTCTCTCCGTTTCGTGGCGTTTAGGTTACGTCTTCTCTCCTCTTTCTCCCGATTCTATGATTCGTAAGCATAATTTGCATACATTTGAAGGTTACGTATGCGCGTTCCTCAGTTGTATTGCCTGAAGCAATGTTATCCAGTTGCACTTCATTTCACATTGGCCGTTTCGTTTACTATCCACTCTTTGTGTATAGCTATCTTGTGTCTTCTTCTCAATACTTACTGTACATGAGGTTGTTCGAGTCGTAACAAATTCCAGAACTTAAATGATTGGCATAAACTGAATTGCGTTTTTTTGTGTCTCTTGCAGGACAAGAAGAAAGATGCAGTGAAGAAGGTCATTGCTGCAATGACCGTTGGTAAGGACGTGTCTATGCTGTTTACAGATGTGGTCAACTGCATGCAAACAGAGAATTTGGAGTTGAAGAAGCTCGTTTACCTATACCTCATCAATTATGCAAAGAGCCACCCTGACCTGGCAATCCTTGCTGTCAACACCTTTGTTAAGGTTTGTAATTTAGTTAATAGGTTAAATATATAAATTGTTTTTAAGTTTTCTGCTGTAGTTTAGGGGCTTGTGAAATGAATATCATCTGTTGTCGTTGTTACATTATTTAGGGCGGTTTGGGGGGGGGGGTGCTATTACTTGCATTGCTTGGGTTGTTGCTTAGTTGTGACAATGATGACAATGATGTGTACTCTCACAGGATTCCCAAGATCCTAATCCTTTGATACGAGCATTGGCTGTTAGGACAATGGGTTGCATCAGGGTTGATAAGATCACAGAGTATCTGTGCGACCCTCTACAAAGGTGCTTGAAAGTAAGTCTTCAAATGCCTTGATTATTACCCAGATCTTTTGGTGCAACTGTGTTGCCTCATTGTGACTATGATAATACATATTTTCAGAAATAAGTAAAGGTGAGATGGTGATGCACCCAAACGGTTTTCTTTTTTCCTTTTCTTTTAACATTTAAAAATTCTTTGCTGGTCTATTATGGGACACTGGATCGAAATAAATTGTCTACAAGGTACATGCTGTACCTGGTTCCATCTGCCTCTTGAGCTCTCGATCTGCAGTTCTGTCTCAGCTCTTTCCTATTCTATTTTTTTACTCCATTTCCATCTCTAGGTTAGGGATCTCGAAAGTTAACTTCGTCATTCTCATGTCAGTATTGTTAATCATATCTCTGGTGGCTTTACAGGACGATGATCCCTATGTTCGCAAAACGGCAGCAGTTTGTGTTGCCAAGTTGCATGACATCAATGCGGAGCTGGTGGAGGACAGAGGATTTTTGGAGGCGCTAAAAGATATGATTTCTGATAGTAATCCGATGGTTGTTGCAAATGCTGTGGCAGCACTTGCTGAAATTCAAGAGGGTAGCAGCAAGAATGTATTTGAGATCACAAATCACACACTATTCAAGCTTTTGGCGGCTCTCAACGAGTGCACCGAGTATGTGTTTTCTTGGCTGAATTTTCTCATTAAGCAAGCTTATTTGGATCTTTGCAATGTAAACGATCAAACCCAAATGATCAGATCAAACGGCAATGTGTAATATCACACATGTTCACTTAGGAAGCGTGGCGTTGTTCAGATTGTTAGACGTGTTAAAAATCGGAACTATATTGAGGCTATAGTTTATTGGCTCTATGGTTGTAGGTGGGGCCAGGTCTTTATATTGGATGCTTTATCTAAATATAAAGCAAAGGATGTCCGAGACGCCGAGAATATTGTGGAACGCATTACCCCTCGCTTGCAGCATGCTAATTGTGCTGTAGTACTATCTGCTGTAAAGGTATTGTGTCTTTCTGCTGTCGTGGTGGTCCCTACTCATTGGTGGGCTATCTATTCATTTTTGCCTGTTTCTTACTCTGCCATTCCCCAGCGCTTAATCAAAGGTTTGGTTATTGAGGTACTGAGTTGCCTGATTGTAATTGCTCTGTGAAGGTGATTTTACAAATATGTTTTTTTTTATTAAAATTGTATTCTAAATCAGGTTTCTGTTTGAAGGTGATTTTGCTGCAAATGGAGCTTATTACCAGCACCGATGTTGTGCGAAACTTGTGTAAAAAGATGGCACCGCCTTTGGTTACACTTCTATCAGCGGAGCCTGAGATCCAGTATGTGGCACTACGCAATATCAACCTTATTGTGCAGCGACGACCAGGCATTCTTGCACATGAGATTAAGGTCCGCTTTCAGTTCTTGTCCTACTAGGACTAGGTGTTTGAAAGAACTTTTTGTAGAGACTGTTTTGTATAGAGCTTCGAAGACGAAAAGATTATCTAAAGCAGGTACAGTCATTTAGAACGTTTTTTCTTTTATTGATAGTCCTGGTTAGTTCTTCCTAACCTAATTTTGGTTTGTCTTACGTGTACAGGTATTTTTTTGCAAGTATAATGATCCTATATACGTGAAGATGGAGAAGTTGGAGATCATGATCAAACTTGCCTCAGATCGTAATATTGATCAGGTCTCGTCATCTATCTCTTATTTTTAAGTTGGTCTCTGGGTTTAAAATTATGTTCCTTCATTGATATCATTCCAAGGTGGAGTTGACTATAAAGTAGTGCATTACCGAAGACAACTGAGTATGGAATAAAAGCAAACGCTTGTTTATTGGGTTTAGCATAGAACCTTAACATCTTTGATGTTTTATACACTGACAAGTATGCTTTCTCATCCAGGTTCTTTTGGAGTTCAAGGAGTATGCCACCGAGGTTGACGTTGATTTTGTGAGGAAAGCAGTTCGAGCTATAGGTAGATGTGCTATCAAATTGGAGCGAGCAGCTGAGCGTTGTATCAACGTTCTCCTTGATCTTATCAAAATCAAAGTTAACTACGTTGTTCAAGAAGCAATTGTAGTGATCAAGGATATTTTTCGAAGATATCCCAACATGTGAGAGTCAGTACCCTGGATAAATCGAGGGTTTTCTGTGAGCAGATATTGGTTGAAAACGAGTTAGTTCAATGGTATTCTTGTTACAAGTACGATTCACCTAGTATCCGTTTCTGTTTATGGATAGAGTGATACCAGACTTAGTTGAAATTTAAACGAAGTTACTTGTTTTCCACAGGTACGAGTCTATCATTGCGACATTGTGTGAAAGTTTGGACACTCTTGATGAGCCGGAAGCGAAGGTACCTTGTTGTGCTTATTGCATTTTGGCCCTTGCATCATCCCTCTGTGATTCAAGCTTAATTGTTTATTATCTTTTGTTGTAATACCTGCTGTATCACCTGCAGGTTTTGGTATCTTGGATTTAAGGATTCGCCTTTTCTTCAAAAGCAGTCAAGTTTCTTTCTTGCAATAACATCAATTTCTGGCTCCTTCTGCAGGCATCTATGATCTGGATCATAGGTGAATATGCTGAACGAATCGATAATGCTGATGAGTTACTTGAAACTTTTCTTGAAACTTTTCCTGAAGAGCCTGCACAAGTGCAGTTGCAGCTTCTTACTGCTGCCGTAAAACTATTTTTGAAGAAGCCTACCGAAGGCCCTCAACAGATGATTCAGGTATTGTCCATTTCCTGTGAGCCGCATCTCACCGATTGGGGTTTCTTAATACTTTAAGAAAGGACACAGACTATCCTCGAATACTTCCAAACCCTCCATGTTCTAAGGGTTGAAAGTAATTTTAAAGGGCCGTTTATTGGGGGACCTGTGTGACACGCAATTGTGTTGGTGTGACCAGGTTGTGCTCAACAATGCCACCCAAGAAACTGATAATCCAGATCTGCGAGATCGTGCATATGTGTATTGGCGTCTCCTTTCTACAGACCCTGAGGTTTGATATCTTCCATTTTGCTATGTTCCTTCGTGGAAGTTTCAGAAATGTCATAAAACGAGAGATTTAACTTTATTTATGTGTAGGAATTTTGAATCACTTGAACTGGCAAAGGTGTATACTTATTATCCTTGCACATATTTGTGATGTAAGTTTTTTCCACGATGATAGAGTTATACTGAAGTGCCGCTTTGTGCTGGTAAGAGCAGTTCTAGAAACTGCCGTAGTAGTTCAGAGAATGCACTTTTTTGCTATCAGGTTAGTGTGATGAAATAAACTGTGTGGATTTTCCCAGGCTGCGAAAGACGTTGTTTTGGCTGAGAAGCCCACGATTAGTGATGATTCCAACAATTTGGATCCATCTCTTCTAGATGATTTGCTGGCTAATATTGCCACACTTGCGTCCGTCTATCATAAACGTGCTGATGCATTTGTGAGTCGCGCGCGAGCGGTCCCTGTGAGGGAGGAGGATGATGAGTACGCTGAAGGCCAAGATTCTGGATCTGGTAACTCATCAGCTCCAGTTCCTGAGATTGCTGTATCAACTCCACCTACTACTGCCGCAGTTGCACCTGCTGCTGTAAAGGGTCCAAGTGCTGCTGCACCTCCTGTACCTGATATGTTAGGTGACCTGATGGGGTTTGATGGTGCCTTGGTACCAGTTGGACCTGCGAGTGCTGCAGCTCCGGGAGAGTAAGTATTATTATCATGGGCATTAGTCCTCTTCTTTATTGTTTTGAAAGTCCATGGTATTTCCTTGTTTACTGTCGATAACTGTCTGACAAACATGACATTTATCACTTGTTTTTAAGTTAAGATTCTATTTGTTAGTGTGTTCCATGGAGTCAAGTCCCAATTACTGTAAAATTGTGTTTATGATACGGAAATATATTATTCGTCGATAACCGCCAAAATAATTCTAATACATCCGTTATTTATGACTTGTTTTACAGGCCTCCCCTACCTGTATTACTTCCAGCAGCATCTGCCCAGGGTCTACAAATAGCTGGCCAGATGACGAGGCGGGGAGGAAAAGTATTCTACAATCTCAAATTCGAAAACCACTCTCAAACTCCTCTGGATAAGTTTATGATACAATTCAACAAGAACACCTTCGGTCTAGCTGCAGGAGGACCTCTTCAGGTGCACCTCTTTGTTTTCTTGTTCGAAGTTCTATGGAACTCAAAAATCTTGAAAAGAATTAAACGTATAAATAGTTCTTGCTCATGTAGGCACATTTTGTCTTTCTAATGTTACGGTCAAGCTTCTTGCGTAAACTATAATTTTGGTCATATTCGTATAGAAGTCTCTGCATGATTATGGCCTGTGAAGTGCTAATGCTGCAGAGACTTCAGTAGCCATACTCTTCTTTTATGGCCTTGGTTTTTGCTTCGTCTTGCATGCTTTCTATGTTGACTTCCGCTATCAAGGACACGTAACTTGTGTCTGAGTGATAAATATTGCATGGTTGCATCACGTTCTGTAGGTTCCTGTTATTCAACCGTCAGGATCGGCAACCACTTTGCTGCCTATGGTTCTTTTTCAAAACGTGTCAGAGGGACCCCCCAACTCTCAACTTCAAGTAGCTGTGAAGAATAACCAACAACCTGTTTGGTACTTCTCTGACAAAATTCCATTGCAAGCACTTTTTGTTGAAGAAGGGAAAATGGAAAGGGGAACATTCTTGGAGGTACTGTTCTTTCAACTTCTCTGCCACATGTTCCGAGCACCAACATAGGCTAGGATCGCTACCCGGTTAAATACAATCCTGCTGCTACCTTGTCAAATCATGTATTTTTTAGGAAATAACCAGATTCTCTTGCCATTCCCTTTTACATCTTAACGCTTGTTTATTTAATCGTGTGGTATTTTGCAGACATGGAAGTCACTGCCTGACTCCCACGAGATCTCCAAGGATCTGCCTAATGCGTTAATCAATAACGTTGACGCCACTCTAGAGAAACTTGCCACGACTAACCTTTTCTACATTGCTCGACGGGCACTCAAAGACACAAATCAGGAGGTAAGGCTGCTTTTATTCTGTGTGGAAATTACCTTGTATTCCGTTTTCTCCTGAAGTGAAACTTTTGCTTTGTTTCAGTCATTGATACAGTGACGGATTATGTATAGAATTGGTCAGAATTTCTGACATTGAACTGCTTGAGTTTTGTGACCTTATTTTATTTGGGGTACCGGTTTATTCTTATACAGATTCTGTATCTCTCTGGCAAAGTGCCACCAAACATTCCGTTCCTGGTAGAAATCACCTGCAAAGTGGGCGTCCCTAATGTCAAGTGTGCAGTGAAGACACCAGTTCCAGAAATGGCGCCATTGTTTTTTGAAGCCATTGAATCTCTTTTGAAGTAGAGTATCAAGCATAAGATAGTTCCTGTAGTCTATCCATTACGGGTTCAATTGCAAGAAACGCAGTCCAGATTTGGTCTGCTCTTCAGATTTAGACTTTTCATAGGTTCCTGTTATTCAACCGTTACCGTTTCATAGGTAAGCGAATTTTTGTTGTTGCATGCGCAGCTGTTGGTGCATTTTGCCACATGAAGAGTTAGCTTTTGAGTATGTCTTTTCCTAGGATGGGTGTAAAATGTGTTAGGTCTGTACTTCTAATATCTCCGCTCCATTGAGCGAACAATGTCAGTTTATCATGCGATTCTTCTAGTCTTTTTTAGCCCGGAATCTTTTTGCAATGCAGGAATAATGATAATTCAATGGTATTCATGTGGCATTGGTTGTGGCTTCAGTTCCATATCGAATGGTATCTTTAGTTTTGACATGAATACTATTGCAGCCTCCACAGTGAATTCAATCGTCATCTTTAGCTACGCTAGGTGTTACGTAGAAGGCTGTGTGTAAATATATATATATATATATATATATATATATATTTTTATAATTTATTTTCAAGAATATTCATAAAGGTTTTTATATTTGAACAATATTGGTAGTAAGATCTCATGTACAATCTTCTACCCACAATTAATTTTTCTCAAAGAAATTAAAAAAGAACCTCTGTTTTAATTGGTGAGAGTTTAATTTAAATTTAACAAGTATTTATTTGAAATACAATCTTTGGGTAGTAAGGATTTTTTTTTTTTGATTGTGAATTGATAAGCTTTAGAAAATATTAGACTCTCTGAGACCTTTCCATACAATGTTGACAACAAATTAGCAAGTGAGGTCAACTATAATCTCTACTTGGATGTCTTCTGCCAATAGAAAGTTTTTTTTTATTTATTTATTTCTATTGATTGTAAGCAACAAGTCCAACTCAAAGCACGTCAAAAGCACATACCTGATCAATAAGAATCTCCCTTGATGACGCATATTCCGCTCCATTGCCGTATCACAGAAGGAGATTTTACCTTAGAAGTTTTAAATGAAAAAATCGACCTAGTTGCAAAAGTAATTAGAGAGGAGATAATTCAACTAGAATTATCGTAGTTCGATGAAACAGGTGCCACACTTGAATTCCAATTGTGTTCTACATTGCATCTCCAAACCCTCCTAGTCTTACAAGAGCTATGTTAGCCACCGACATGCACCTTGTCGTTGTCAAAGTTTTGTACTCCTGTACAACCCACTCTAACCCTTGATATGGATTGCAAAAAACCAGCATTGTACGGAAGATGTTCTAATTTACTTACGCCGCACCTCCAGTCGTAACATCACAAGTTTCAGCGCCTACAGAAAGAGGAGGATGGTAATCGATGTTAATGGTAATAAAAAGAATCGGTGAATCTCCGATGGCACTCAACATTTTTGAGGCGTTGATGAAACCAGACAGGATGTCCATTATCATGGTAATCGACTCTCGTCTCCTTTGACAAAACTCACTGATCATTCACATGCAAGGTTTTTTAAGACTTTTATAAAGAGCTCAGAACAAACAACAGCAAGGACATACTCTAGTAATTGCAACTCAACTTTCAGAATGACACTAGCAAAAAATCAGGCTACTTCTGTAAGCGAGCAGCAACCTAAGAATCATGCCATTACAGTGTGGCAGTAGACTAAACGACTAAAGCGCCTGACTTCTACGCCAAGCATCTGACTTCTACGCTCAAAGAAAGAAAATCCGAACTAGAAACCGCGGCCTTCTCCCCGTAACTGGTTCACTAGTCAGATGTTTGAGGTAAAGCACAAATCGGTAAACTAGCATAAACTTTTAACTACCTTTTGCTGTTGTGCCAGAGTTCATCACCGTTTCAACTGCTGGTTAAAGTGCAGTATACACAAAACCTCTTCACACTAATGGAACTCCAGTGCACACGACATTGATGTTTAGAGAGTTCATGCCGAGTTGCTAATGGAAAGATTCCCCAGCTCTTCAGTTGGAGCAGATGGAACAGCTTGAGCCATACGAAGGACTTCCATAGCTTCATTAACCTTGGCCTTCAAGGCTTCGGGCGACTCAATTAAGTGCAAAACTTCGGTTTGATCCATCTCCAGAAGCATACCCGTCACTTTGCCAGCAAATTCATGCTCCAATTGGTCTACCAGAGGATAAAGTTGCTCACCGAGCATCTGAAGTTTTACAAGTGAACCAAAATTAAATATATGGAAGTACTCCTTAAAACGGCAAGTTGAAGAAATTAGTTCTACTACATTATAAAGCATTTTTCACAATAAATGAAGCGGTGAACAGGTCAAGAAACATACAGCGCGCTGTTGATCAGGTGGAGCAGACGCCAAGGCCGAAGCAAGCGCGCTGATGGGCAGGGGCTGCTGAGGAACACCAGAATCGACATTTGCTGCTGGCATACCCCCAATTTCCAAGGGAACAGGCAACATAACACCCATCATACCCTGAGGAGGAGGAGCTGTGCCATCAGAAGCGTTCCTCACATTAGGAGTGTAGCGGAAGTTGCGGTTACCACCTCGTTGGATCATCTGCAAATCAAACAACGGAATCAGATGAGCTAATCAGGAGAATTTCATACACAGCAACATCAAGAATACAGTAAGGCTATGAAATAAGAAGTACAACTATGCAACAAAACATGAACACAAAAGAGATGAAACTCTCCCACGTAATGCAGGAACAAGTACAAACCAAAATCAAAAAAAAAAAAAAAAAAAAAAAAAAAAATTGAAGAACATACTTGCTGTTGTGACTGCTGCTGTTGCTGCTGTGGTGCCCCACCACGCCTACCACCAGCCCGCTGTCCTTGCTGTCCCTGGCTTAATGAAACATTTGGATAACCAATGTAGTTCGGGATCTGAGCCCCACCAGGCCTCATAATTTGTGGCGGATAGCCGAATGCGGCAGGCTACACGAAACGAAATGTCAAATTGTTACTTTCTTCTCACTTTAAAAAAAATCATCATTTCACATCGAAATACAACCAAAACTAGAACAGAAAACACTCGAGGCGATAAAAAGCTCCGGAGACATTGTACCTGAAGAGGAATGGGTCCAGAAGGATGTTGTCCATAATAAGGCATCTGAGGACCCAGGCCCGGACCAGGATGGTACATTGGAAGACTTGTTGGAACGGTAGGGCCAACAGGAGTTCGCATCTGTGCAAAGGCTGCCTGCAGAGCGCAACCAATTGTTCGTACCAATAATTTACGAACGTTAAATACAACTATACTAGACTACAAGGGGAAAAAAAGAAATATATATATATCAAGCTGTTCATACCCAGAACTACAAAGATGTCAAGTGTTACCCACGACCTTACAAAACCAATCAAATCCACTTACTTGCAATCGTACCCTCCTCTCCTCCTTGCGCTGTGCCAAGGCTACATAGAGAGGCTTGCTCCCCACCATCTTGGTATTCATTTCAGTAACCTGAAAATTACCATTTCCTTTCAAAATCAGAACATACTCGGTCTATACAATGATAATCATATTTTTTTGAATTCAGAGATAGAGAAGATGTCCAAGATAGTATCGGATCTTAAGGTAAGAAGATATAATTGCGCGAGTTCCGTGTTTAGCAATACCCGTGGGCAAGATGAAACTTTCTACTCAGAGTTATTTACCTTGTTGAAGAACTGATATAACCTTTGATTCCGTTAGAACAGAGCAACAATTTAAGATGTGGATCACAATGCTCATATAAAACATACCGCGCGAGTTGCCTCCTCTGGTGTAGAAAATGCAACGAATCCAGAGCCTCTGCTCTGACCCTGGGGATCTTTCATCACCTGAGGCATATTTGCACACGAGAAGGAAAACATTCAGAATACAATCTTAACACGACCAGCAAGGTAGAAGATTAGAAAAACCAGTGCATAAGAGAAACAAACACTAGACTAGACAGAAAATCTGCATTTAACCAATCAACCTACCTTGCAAGACGTGATAGTTCCGTACTCAGCGAACAGCTCCCTCAACTTCTCATCATCGACGGCATCATCTAAATTCTTGAGGTAAAGATTTACTCCTTGGTACTTCTCAATCCTCGACTTACGTTCCTGCTCAAACTTCGCCCTAAGCTCAGCTTCCCGCTCTGATTTTTTCTGTGCTCTTCCGACATACCACTCTTTTTCATCCTGCTTTTTGCCATTCAAGGCCTCAACAGCCTTGGCAGCATCGTCAGCAAGCTCGAAATTAACAAAACCGAAGCACTTCGACTTGCCTTCGTTATCCCTCATGACCACAGCACTGCTTATGGGCCCGTAAGCACCAAATACCTTCTTAAGCTCATCATCGGTTGTGTTCTCTCCAAGATTCTTCACATAAACATTGTTGAACTTGGAAACTCCACCTGATAGATCCCTTTCTTGACGGCGAACGAAAGGCCCAACAAAGACTTGTTTATCATTTAAAAGCATTCCGTTAACTTTCTCGATAGCACTCTGAGCTGATTCTTCTTTCTCAAACTGGACAAACCCATAACCCTTGGACTGACCAGAACTGTCAGTTGCCACCTTGCACGATAGGATTCCACCAAACGCAGAGAACGTATCATGAAGAGCTTTGTTGTCAATAGCCTTGTCTAAATTCTGCAGTGCAAACCCACGCAAGACTAGTGAGAAACCTTTGAACATACCATATTCAATTAACATACATACAAAATGTGCAAAAGCAAAAGTTATACAGAAAAATTAGAGAAATTAAAAATTGAATATGAAAGAAAGAAAGAATTCCAAATAATTAAAAAGAAAAAAGAAGATTGCAGATTGCCGGATAATAATCATAACCTGCGTGGAGAATGCTCGCTCACCTTAATGAAAATATTTGCTGCGCCACTCTTACGAAGGCTAGGATCCCTATGTGAGAACATGATACGAATCGGTTTCCCGTTCACAGGAGTAAAGTTGAGCAACTCCAAGGCACGAGTGGCTGTCAAACACCCATAACATATCAAAATAAAATCCTCCATGTAGGGAGGTTAAAGCTTAAACAAGACATGGTTCAACATACCAGCAGAGCTGGACAGATGTTTTCCAGCTCTTATCATGGATAGTTCAATAGAATCCTGTTAGCAATATTACACCAAAAAAAATATTTACAAAAAAAGATACACTAGCAAACATAACACAAATAAGTACCCTATTTAGATATCCGGAATGATAAACTCCGTAGGCTTACCATCTTGAGCACTGTGGTAGTTGACGTATGCATACCCCAAAGAGCGCCTGGTGATGAGATCACGGCAGACTCGGATCGACACGACTGGCCCAGTTTGACTAAATATCTCGTATAACTGAGCTTCAGATACATTGTGCTCCAAATCACCAACGTAGACAGAAGTGGAGACGAACTGATTAGGTGCAGGGCCCCCGACGGCTGCCTGCTGAACTTGAACCTGTGTCTGAGCCATGATTGCTAATCACACAAAGATCCGTTTCCGGATCGAGCGGGACAATAATAACCTGAGTAAAAATCTACCGAAGATCTTTGAAAGGTTCAGGAAGGCTAAGAAATTGGGTTCGCCTCTCCCGCAGAGCAAAGGTTTGAGTTCTAGGTTTCAAGGTTTTTCTTCGGTCAAATTATGCTCCCTGCCAAAGTATTCTGAGAAACAAGAACAACAACGACACAAACACACCGCAGTTCAATCTCCCTGCACACTCACGCTCAATACGAAATAACCATACCTCAACACTCTAAACCTCACAATCGAACGCCAAAACCCTAAACACAAACCAGTTTGACCTGATCCCACACAGCACACAAACGGCACCACGGAACTCCAGCCAATCAATTCTTCCTCACTCTAATCAAAAGGAACGAAGCAAGCAGCAGCAGCGCACCTTGACCAACGAAGGGAGAGGCCTGAAAGACGCCCGATGTTTTTTTTTTTTTTTTTTTTTTTTTTTTCTGTTCCTGTGTGTGTTATCACCACCTGCTGTCACTGCCGCACTTGATGCGACTGTGAACTCGATTGATTCAAAAAATAATTGACAACAAGAGTGGGATGAGGAGAGCTTAGCCCTGCGTGCGGCCGAGCCTCATCACGTCCCGTGCGAAAGCATGAGTGCCGAACAGGCAAGGCCGGGGCCAGCGCCTGCTGCTGCAACTCACTCACTCACTCAAAAACAAAGAGGAGCGGGGGAGTGAGTGCGGCGGGAACTAAAAGAGAAAGAGAGGTGCTAAAACGACAATTAAAGAAAGGGGGAATAGGGGAACCTCACGTCCCCATCGCATACCAGTGAGGGGGGGGGGGGCTTGCTGTTCTGCCATTCCCCCCCCATTAGCTCCCCATCACCGAGCACGCCGGGTATCACACCGGTCGCTGTAAATCAGGGTATCAACTGACAGCGACTGAGTCGGGGCGGGAGTTGGGAACTCTCTTTTTGTCCGGCAGACTGAGTCCCATCGTGGCAGTCCATGAGGCCACCATGGCAGTGTGTCGCATTCGTGACTCCGCATGCGCATTGCCACCGTGGAATCCAGGTGGCGGCTCCCTACTTTGTCATTTTTCTCCTGTTTTTCTACTTTTTTTTTGTCCTTAATGTGATTAGAGGGCTGTTGTCTACGGTCCAAAATGACATGAAGCTTCCATTTTTCTTTTTTTCTTTGCTATGAATTTTTAGAGGGGAATCAAAAGTGAGTGGAATGAATTATGTAGCACATATGACATCTGCAAACTTAATCATGAAATATAGTGTACAATAATACAATAAACATTCTGAAATTGTTCAGATTTCCTGTAAGACTAAGTTAACTTTTGAATTTTCATTCTTCAATATTCACTTTGTACAGTATGTATGTGACTTATTTTGAGGATATGATGATTCAACACAGAATGTGTTTGAAAAAATATATATTTTCAAGGCATTGAGCTTTTGTCAATCAATATATATATATATATATATATATATATATATACATTTATTTATTTATTTATGAACATATATATCTATATGTTCATATATATATATATATATATATATATGAACATATAGATTGTACTCCAGTATTATTCATTGATTTTCAATCCTCAATAACTACTTTAAGACGATCTTTGCATTACTATTTTCAGAGCCAATTATCTTTAAAATATGACTGTGCTTTGAATATTGTGCTTTAAAAATCAATGAAAAAATATGTATTTTACTAACTTTATGAAATAACATACTGTATTTATTAGTTTTTACTACATATTACTAATTTAAACCATGTTTTTACTATTTCAGAAAGAATTTAATATATGTTAATCACAACAATTAATTTGAAATGTTGCTCATGCACAAAACGTACATGTTTTTATAAATCATATGACTGTAAATGGCCTTTTGTGATCATATGGCTGTAAACGGCCTCTCACACAAAAAAATTATGGTTGCAAAACTTCAATAAATATATATATATATATATATATATTTCATAGAACTCTTTCCCATGGAATCATCTGTATAAAGTCGTTCACAGACATATGTATATATAAGTAAATAAATAAATAAATAAATAAACATATATGTATAATTACATATATGCTTAGAAATTGATTAAATTCAATGTTTGTGGCAATTCAATATTATTTTTAATTATGCTAAAAATGAATTTTTGCATTAAAAATACATCTTGCAAAATTTAGTTACAGTACACACACACACACATATATTAAAAATTACACTTATATAGATTAATTTATGGTTATTTCAAAAGATTAATTTTTAGTTTTTTTAAAAATTATAACAGTAATAAAATGAAGACATGTAAAATTTACACAACTAGTTTTTCTAACTAAAATTAATATAAGTATATACAGTTAACTTAAACATAAACTTTTATAGTAGGATTATTAATAAAATTTAAAAATAATTAAATACAATAATTTAAAACTACAGTTAAAAATATACACAAACTTAATTTTAGTAAATCATAAAAAAATAAAAACCAATAATAACTTCAGGATTTTTATATAAAATATTTTTTAAAATATGCAAAATAACCGATTGACTGATTGGTGTATATATATGTATATTTACAGAATTGGATGTTTTCCTAAGCTAAAAGAAGATATTTAATGTCAAAACATATAAAGTGAAGAATAAAAAATGTCATAAATATAAATAATTTGGACATTTTAAAAGACTATTACATCAATGATGTGTAGTCAAAGGTAAAAGTCTAACTGAATAGTTTACATTATTTATACAAAACAAAATATTAGTAGAAACTTCTTTTATAATTGATTGATATAAGAAATTATTTTTTAAATATATTTTTTAGACTTTTCTAAGTATTAAGTTAAAATTAATTGTTAAAAATAAAATAGTATAAAAAATAATAACAAATTCTCAACTTTTATTTTACAAAAAAATACTAGAGAAATTATAGATATATTTTGGATATCCATAAAACATTTTACATTGAATTAGAAGATGATTTTTTAAAATTCTAAGAGTTGTGTTTCTCTAGAAAAAAGATAATAAACATAAAGAAATAAGTCATATAAGTACTATTGGTATTCTTAAAATATTTTAAATTTCAGTTAAATATGAAAAACACAAAAAAGAGCAAATAGAAAAATACAAAACAAAAAAAAAAAAACAAAACAAAACAAAACAAAACAAAAAATTTAAAACAAAATAAAGCTATACTAATAATTCTAAGATTCTAGTGTTAAATGATGTCTATTTTATCTCATTTAGATAATTATTTGTAGACACAAAAATAATTTAAATAAATTTTAAATCCTTTCAACTTTATATATCACTAAAAGCATATTGATGTTATATTATCCATTTTAATATTTAATTTATATTTTATAAATATAATAATTAAAAAATAAATAAAATAACTACAAATATTATCTTTAATTATAGATTTATTAATAGTATGTATATACATACATATTTGCAATATAGTTTTAAGTTTTATAAATTAAAAAATTAATATATATTATCTTATAATTTTATAATATATATAATATATTATAAAAAAAGATAAATATAAGATAAATGCCATTATATACACAACCAAAACAATAATAACTTCTTTTAAATACAATAGTATAAGATTATGTACAAAGTCTTAATGTATAGCCACAATTTATGATGTATATTGTGGTAATTTATACCATTATGATTAATTCAAATTTTAGTGTAAAATATTATATAATATTTAATTAAATACATTCAAGTATTATTTGTAAGATATTTTTTGAACTAAAATATAATATTAAAGACTAATTTTATGTCTAGTTTTTGTGAAGATAAATATATATATATATATATAATTTATTTCTATAAATTTATTAAAATGTTGTAAAGAGAAAATTTTAAGAAAGATATATAAACAAGTGAAAAAAATATCAAAGAAAGATGACGAAATAATAATAAGAAAGTATGTATATTAAAGAAAAAGTTGTAATGGCTATTGCCAAAGACTAGAAAACTAGAAACTTTTAAAACTGGACTAGAAACAAAAAAGGAGATTACAAGAATAAAGAAGGCTTCACTCTTGCTTCCACATATAATATCTATCTAAAAGCTATGTAGTGATATTTTACAAGACCTCCAATACGTGTCCAATTTGCAAGACACATTTCTTAACTTGCAAAGTAAGTTTCATATACATATGCCATATGGTTAACTTTTACCACAAGCTATCAATATGTAGAACATATGTCTAATTTGTTGGCTAAGCACTCAATCTATCAATCACCTTTAGACATGTATAAAGGTGAAACTAAATCTTTGAATCTTTTAGGATGCTTCTCTACAAGATATTATTAAACTTATTTACTTCTAATTATTCATATTATCTAGATAAATATTAACATAAATATTTATGTCTACAAAAAAATACATGGCTTTAAAATATATTTTTGATATATATATATATATATATATATATATATATATATATATATATATATATATATATATATATATATATTATCTTAAGGTTACTTTATTTTAAGCTTTAGTTCCAAATTTCACAAAATATTACATTTGCAATTGTAATTTTTTTCTTACATCATATTAGATGTTATTGATCTTTTAATTCTAAAATTTATTTTTATTAAAAAACATATATATATATATTTATATTAATTAATTATAATTTAAAGAAAAAATCTATAAATATTTATTTATAATTTATAAATTAAAATTGAATAATAAACTATCATTAATTTTTTTCTTAAATTAAATATTTATATATATTTTAAATAATTAAAATAATAAACTAAATAACTATATTTTATTTAATAATTATAAAAACTATATTGTATTTATTTATTTATAATTTTTTATTAATAATTATTAATTATTAATTTTGGTTCATTGATTTACTTAATACTTATATTAATAAATATCTACATTACTTAAATAAGCATAGGTATATAGAAGTAAACATAAACATATTAGGTAGATAACATCTTTTTGTAAGAAACTTCAAAGAAATTTTAGAAATGTGTATTAGTTTATTAAATCTATATAAATATGCTATATATTATTATAAGTTGTCTCATAAGTTTTTTAGTTTTTGAAGTTGCATTAAAAGTAATCTACAACTTGATGCTTAAGCCACAAGTTTCTTGGTCTTTAAGAAGTTTCTACAAGGCCTTTTGTGGCTACTATGCATGAAAGCAAGATTAATACTATCCTTAGACTTGCCCACATCATTGTTGTATTTTAGTCTTAATTTTAGACTTCCTAAATTCTTTGTATTTAGTAATGACTATTTTAGTTCTTTTGAATTTTATATCATACATATGAATATATATAGAAATTATATTAAAATAATCTAAACATGTACTAAATTGATCCATCCATCATTATTAATTTTTAACCCACCCATCACCCATTGTTTCATTGATTTTTGACCAATGCAAATCTGGCAATAGAGAATTTTTTTTTAATGATATTTAGAATGGATGGATCAATTTAGTAAATGCTTGGATAAATTTAATAATCTCCTCTCTCTCTCTCTCTCTCTCTCTCTCTATATATATATATATATATATATATATTATTTTTATTTTCTTTCATTTATTTCAAATGACACATGAATATATTATCTTCTAAAGTTTTATATTTATGTCCTTGGTAATTTGATAAGACTAACATTTATCATATTAAAGCTTAATTTTTTTGAAAGAAGGTAGATTATTCTTTTTCACTTTAAATCATCAAAGTTTTTAGAAGTTATTAGTTATTCATCTTTAAAATTATGTTTTTTTTATTATACTACTTTTTTCTTTTGTTTTTTGATGTAGGAATTATTAAAATTTTATAATTATGACAGATTTGTAAAAAGTATAGAATGTCATAAAACATACGCATGAAAAAATGTGAGATTTGATGCTATACATCAATTATGTACACTGTAACAATTAACATTAAGATTGATTAACCAAAAAGATGTAAACATGCCATACACTTCTCCAATAATTATACTATCTAAAGTAACTCATGTAAATACAATTGCACCAACTAAAAAACCAATAGTTGCTCTTCTAAAGAAATTTAATAGTTCTACATATAAGTTTTGAGGATTTATCAATCTAGTGCAATATTTTCTTCAACTCCAACATCTTAATTATATGATCTAAACATCTCATATTACATTTATTAATACATGTATTTCAATTTTGACAACTAATAATTGATGTCAATTATATTAATGTTAGAATTATCACTTAATTTCTTCATAGAGTATAATATTATTAAAACTTAAACTTTGAGTCAAGCTACTAAATTTGAAATTACATTCAACAATTGACTTTTGGAATTTTGATTAAAAAGGCATATCTTGACACCTTGATGCTTTTATATTTTTATTGAAAATACTTTTATCAACCAAGATATTCAACAAAATATAAAAGATATAAAGAAGAACATTATTTTTAATAAATTATCTGTAATATAAGAAAAAACATATTACCAACAATAAGGCTTGTACTTATGTTACTGAAAAACAAAACATGTTATTGAATATTGACCTAAAAAGAGATAAAACTATAAAAAGTATATTTCTAAATATATATATATATATATATATATATATTAAAAAACAAATTTGTTGAATAACATAAATGATTGTACAATTCGATTCTTATACTATATCATTTTCTGAAGGCTTTGCATCATCTTTTTATCATTTGCTTGTTTTTTTTAGTGAAAGTTAATTTGAGATCTAAAAATTCCATAATTTCTTCCTTTGTTTTGTTAGAATTTAGTGCCTTTGCTTATTTTCTTGATAATGTTTTTCTAAAGTGTCATGAGATATTGTCAATGAAAAGAATCAAAATTATACATATAAAATTTATAAATAGAGGATTTTTGTCTTTAAAAAACATCATTAGTAAAATCTTAACAACTAAAGTAATTATAAAAGATTATAATAGTTCAGTAATAATTAATATTATAAAGTCTCTATTTAATCTTGTTATTTTAGGATCATTGTGTAAACAAAACATAACCCTCAAATATACTAAATACCTTGTCATCTTAAATTTTCTCTTGTCTTATTCAAGAAAAGACCAAAGTAAAAAAATTATCTCACATCTAAAAAAATCGGATTTCTATTTGTGCAAGTAAGGCATTTATACAAGCTGCAAAAGAAGGAGATTTTTTTCTCATTTATTTAGCACCAAGTCCTCATCTAAGTAGAAGTAACTATAAAATCACAAAACAATGTAAAGAGTATGAAGATGTATTTGAGAAGAAAAGTAAGAAAAGGAGGAGGAGATGAAATGATGAAAAGAAGATTGAATTCTTAAGATGATGTATTTTTAGAGAGAGTACATTTTTTTTTTTTTTTTTTTTTTTTCCTAACTTTTCCCTTAAAATTGATTGGGGGATGTTCCTACCTAAAATTTAATTAATTGAATTAATCATTTAAATAATTATTTTTATTTTTATAATTAGTAGATTTTGATAATTAATATGTTTTTTTTTTTTTTTTTTTTTTTTATATAATGGATGATGTTAATTAGCAGGAAGTCAATTATATACAAGCTTGTATCATAATCCAAAAGCTTGCATTTTATAAGTACATGATTATAATCAATGGATATAATTACCTCAATATTTACCATAATTGTTCAAAGAAGCATGAACAGAAGACATATACAATTATATACATTATAGAAAAAGAATTTTCCAAAGGAAGAAATATTGATATTCTTTATAAATCATCTTCAAATCTTATAACAATTTTTTGCTTATAAATTAAATATTGACATTCAGTTGATGTAGGAATTGAAGTTCTTGGTATAAAAATAAAAACAAAATCCTACGATTCATACTAATTCAATATCTGACATAGCCTCCTTCACACATACCCAACTCCATGTTCAATTGTTTTTTTTAAAAAAAAAACCCAATTTCCAGATTCTTACTTTAGGGCTTCACCACCTTAGGACTAAGTGTCGGTGAAGGTGTCGGTGACGGAAGAACATTGTTCATCGTAGATTCAAATTGGTACATATCGATTCCGTTTGTGAAGAAGAACACCCCCAGTCACGGAATCAACTCTTTAACTTGGGCCAGAACCCTAGCCCGTTGGTTGAGTTGGTTTCATCGCATGCAGCATTGTGTCTATGCTTACCTGCCCCTTATCCTTGAAGTTAGACGTTCCATTTTGCTAACATTCTTGCTCTCTGGCTTTTGTCGAGTGTGGATCCGGCTTCGCCCATGTCGAGTCTGCTTCTGAGCCCACCTGCATTGCTTTGTCATGTGTTTCTCTATGAAGGGCGCAACAAATACCGAGCTGCTTAGAATCAAGTCCCTGATGATGCACCGCGTGGCTTCTCCCCAAAGGTATGTATGTTCGTGCGACGCTGATGGATTTATCGGAAGCATTCCCTTTATCGTTGTGATGGCTTTCTTCTCCACTCTGCCATCTTCGGGATGGCGTTTTCGTTATGAAGGTAGTTTGGAATGTGTTCGGGCTGAGACTTCGAATGGTGTTGTCCTAGAACCAGTAATTAGGTTTAGGGTTTCAGTGAAAGGACTGGCGGGAGCCTTGCCTGAGTTCATTTTCTGCATGATTGTATAACACTTAAGTTCCTTCAATGTTGTTTTCGTGGCTGATGTGGCACCAAGTTTGTTGCATTACGAGAGGTACCCAAAATATTCTTGGTTCATGTGTTGCAATAAGGAACAGCTTCGAGGATGTTCTAATGTGATTTGCTCTCTCTCTCTCGCTCTCTCGCTCTCCCTCCCTCTCTTGTTCTTAGTATTTAATGTTATTATTTTTTCGAATCTATCTCTCCCCAGGATTTGAACTTTGTTCAAGTTCGAAAGTATGATACAGAATCATCATACGACTAACCCGTGAACTTTCAGATACTTTTATTTTTATTTTTTATGAGTACAACTGTAGAGAAGACCGTTGGTTTCTTATCATTCTATTGCACCTGTTTACGCTGCAAAAACTCTGAATGCTCTTACGGTAATTCGGCGAGTTAAAAGCTCTGTATTTCTCAGATATATAGGGAATTACTTGAATCCATAGTTCGACTCTATAGATTATGACGGATTAGATTGATCGGTAGCTGATGCCTCGCACGTTAATCATTTTCCACGTCCTCCCCTGGGTGTAGAGTCTGAAGGCAGAAAATTCCGATTTCACCAACTTCGGGGATATACTTTCGGTAACAATACGCAAGCAGCTGGCCTTGGTTCGTTCGGAACTAAGCCTTTAAACGCGGGGCCGTCAAAATTGGTTCACCTTAACCTAATCCGCCACTTATCGTGAGTCAAAACTTTCCTCGGAAAGTGGATGTACGTGGTAGTCACTGCTAGCGAGGACCTTGCTAATCTGTTCATGAAGGTTGTTTTAATCATGATAAATGAAAAATCTACAATTACAGATACGTAGAAACAGATAATACTGCTATACAAGTGCTATATAATACTTGCCCTGAACCTGGTGCTTTCCTAAAGGACGCGGCAGTGAACCATGTGGAAAGATAGGGTTTATTATTGGTTCAAGGTACTACAGCACAGTTTTTCTACTTGGACGTTTATTATCTGGTTTTCAATTCTTCCTGCTTCATTCAAGGATGGGACATGTGGCCGCTGGTCTGAAGTTTGAGGAAGTCTCATTCCTGTCTGGTTTTAATTTAATCAGTGGCTCTCTAAGATGCTAAGCTGTAGTTGGCATTTCTGAACTGTAAGACTACTAAGAGCATGAGAGATTGGGCTTGAATGCTAAAATCTGGCTGGAGTGGAAGACGCTTGCATTAAGATCACAGCATTTCTCAATACAGGCATATTTCATCCTTGAAGGGTTACTGAATGACCATAGGCGTTACTCTGAAGAATAATTTGACCTGGAATTGTGTGGACGAAGAAGTTGCTGCGCGGATTCCTCTTTGTAGTGTTGAGAGATGCAGAAGAGGTATGTCAAAACATTATTACTCATGATGTGACTGCGTGAGTAACTTTGAAGCATAGTACTTTTTCTAGCTTAGTTTCATTCAATTGAACACGATAAATAACGGAACGGTGATGGATCAGCATCATTTTGTCTTGGCGGTGCTCTGCTGCGAATGTCTGTTGGTATTTCTTGTAAACCATAATTATGTGAGGTTCTCTCACATCAATCCTAACAAGAACTGCCATGTTAGAAATCTCATAAGAATCATACGCGTTGGAATCATCAGGATGCTGTTACTGCTCTCTAGCGTGTTCTCCCTGTGCATTGCGTTACTTTCGACAAGTGGAATTCGGTTCAGTCACTGATCGCGAAGTCTCTGCATGCCAGCTCAACCAACGAATGCTTGTGTGCGTTTACTTACGAGCTTCAAACAACTCGAGATGAGCTCCACCTACATGGCAGATCAGTATGAACGTATGCAGTGAAACATGATACCACCTTTTGAGGGGAGAGCATTGCTCTGTACCCTGTGATCACCATGAGCTTTCTAATGAATGCTACCAATAAAACCACTGAATCCAGTGTGTGAGAAATCGATGTCAGTAACGGGCGACCCAGCATTTCTACAATACTTCATATCCTCGAATGGCCTGCTTATTCAACGGGTTGAAGAGATACGTGTCCTTCCATGTCAGGGTCTAATGCTGCCTCCATTCAATTCTCTCTGGGTAACAAAGAATACCACAGTCAACTCAAAGACAAATACCAGGAGCACATCCCAGATTGCGGATTGGTTGTTTTCTGTTTTTTTTCAATTTTGGAACATGCGTGTTTGCGCCCATTGCAACAGCACCTTCGCCAGCAGTGTTAAAGCCCACCCAGAACAGTTTCCTCATAGAATTGTCCACCCCACAATTAAACAATCCACGCTTCTATGGTAATGCTGAGAAGGATCAGCACCATCGACGTGAACCGATGCAGGTGTGACAGCATGCACAGGGGAATGCATTCATCCGAGATCTGGAGACCGTTTGAAATGGGTGGCAGGGCGGAGAGTTTAGCCTGCGAGCTGCATGAGTCGCATTACGAGATTATGTACTTATTAACTTACACATCGCCATCATGTGTTGGGCTCCAACCCCACGCTCCACGTAGTCAGTTGAGTTGTGCATTACACTCGCAAGGCCCTCAGATTGGCCACCCATCTTCCACACAGCAGTCAGGAGAATTTAATTGCTTAAGCTCTGGGTCGACACAATAATCGAGGTGGGGCATATTCACAAACGTGGTTCACTTTGTGTTTGTTTACAAAGACGTGCTACGACTTGCATGGATCGCAAGGCAGCGGCGCCATGGGGCACTCGCGAAACCCGAGCGACCGGATTCGCAATCATGGAGCCTTGGGATGAATTTCCTGCCCACTGCTCTCTTTTGTACATTTGTGGAAGTTTCCCAAATCAGGGTCGGAGGGAAAATTGGAGCCCCTCCCGAGGCAGGTGATTCGAGTGGGGGTTTGGACAGTAGCTCCCGCGGGAGGGAGAATTTTCGGTCCGTTTTAGTATTCAACTGGGAGTCTGGGACACACATTTCCCCTCGATCAGCTGCAGCTTGGGCACCAATAGCACGATGTCCGCGCACCACTACAAGGGAACACCTCGGTACGATATTATTATATTCTTGAGGACGAATATGGCTCCTGGACTTACAGCCAATGCAGGCAAATTTTGGGCAGGGGAATACTCTCCCCCCAGATGCTCTGATTCCAAGTCCCTTGGGGTCTCCCAGAGCCCGTGCAGATGTGCTTCAGCACCTTGGGGTGCCCGATAATGCCCGAGCAATACTGGCGATGTCCCGATCCGGAAGCTGGCAATTGCAATCAGTGCGGGAAAAAGAAAAAGAACCATAAACCGCACCGGCCTGGCCTGGCCATCGGCGGAGAGACCGATAACGATGATCCGGAACACAAGATCCGGCAGCTAGAGCAGTTGCACTCGCCGCAGTACAGTCGTTTTTACTACTTCTGCTCATTGCTCCCCCCCCCTCCTTAACGTACACCGGCCTCGTACGAGCACCGCTATTGTACACTCCAACCCATAGCAGACCGGATCAGAGCTTGCATTCATATCGTACTTCCTGCCACCCCTCCTTTCTCACATTATCATAATCCCACCGTGTCGCCGCTGTGTAGCGTTGCCTTGGTCCCGTCGTTATGAGGGCTTAATTAATCCGATCTCGCCGCTTCTTCGCACCCAAGAATCAGTTGCCATTGTCGATTTGGTACTTCAGTTGCACCAATAACTTCTCTCCTACTCATAATGGTTGGTATAGTACTTCGGAGACGTTTAGATGCATTTACTCACCATCAACTCTATATGCCCCAGTGGTCAAAATGCAATGAAAGGTGGAATCCACGGGAAGTCTGAGTAATATTCTCTTCCTCTCATCTCTCTCACACACACATACATTCGCACAAACACACCTTCGCATGTATGCCTGTCTCTTCTCCAGCTTGTCACCTGTCAGATCAGGTTCTAACCTCCATTGGGGCCATTTACTGCTCTTGTGGTTTCCGCAGTCAACCAATTCACCGCACCCAACTGGCTTAAACCGGGATGTAAATTCAACCTCCTCCCCTGAGTTTGTTCCTGATGATTAAGTCCACTCCCGCCTCTCCCATACCGAGGGATCTTGGTATCTACTTCAAATTAAGCAGTGCTTGAAACATGTAACAACTGTCCAGTTACGAAGCTGAACATATACGAATATTATACTCTAACTCTTTGACCAATATATATATATATATATATACACACAGGATGAGCACACAGGGGGAATAATTCATGGATTCCGCGAATCGTTTTGTTCTCGTCTCACGGACTTGGCCCTTGCTCTAGATTTCCCGCCGGACTGGAGTGCCTTCCCTGACTTTGAGTCCCCATCTGGGTGGGCATCATCATCGAGGTGAGGGCCGGAGAGGCCACTGTAACGGGGGGATGTTTGAGGAATATGTGGATCTTCTTTCTCCTGGTGCATTGGAAACTGCAAATGACCTTCCAACGATGTTTGTTTGTTGTGCCCTTCCCCATCACAATTCCAGTTTCAGGTCAAATTTGGACTCCGAAACTTTGGCTCCTCAGCGGGCTCTTCCCTCGATGTTGCTGAAGCAGCAACAACATCATCTCACTCTTGCCTCCCACATCGCAATGCTGGTGGGAAGCAAGCGTGAGATCATGAAGCTCGACTTGTTCACTTGGGTTTAAAACTTCAGGTTTTAGGGTTTCGAATGGCTCGGTTGGGTTTTCCTGTTGAGGGTCTTTGTTTTTGGGGCGTGAGGTTTGTGACCTTTTCTATGAATATGTGTGTAAATATGTGTATACGTGGACAAAGCTTTCTATCAACATGTGTATAATTATATACTACTTCTGCAAACCCACCTTCAGATTGATTCTTTGAATATGGATTTGTTAATACAATTACTTTTCACAAAATTGTGGATGTAATTTTGTAATGATCGTTTCTATTTGTATGTAAAACAATCTTTATATTAAACTTCTTTGATATGATTTTCAGTTGACAAAAAATTAAAATTTAAAAATTTCTTGTAACTATATATATATATATATATATATATATATATATGTGATAATATAGCATACTTAATATACATATAATATTTATAAAACATAAAGATTACAAGCTCTCAAAGTATATGTATATATATATATATATATGGAGTTGTTAAAGCCACACCCTCAAACAATGTGATGATTAATTTTGGGGAGAAGGAACAAGAGACGGAGATAGAAAACAAGGCACATGGGGTGGGAATGAGGAATAGGGGATATGGAACAAGGGACAAAGACAAGAATGGATGGAATCAATTATGAGATGGTAATGTGGAGTGTGGTTTTAATAACTCCCTATATATATATATATATATATATATCACTATTACATACTTTCAATCTCTTGGTAGTAAAAAATATTAACATATGATATGGTTTAATTCTATACTATCATTTATGATCTAGATAAAAGTTTAAAATATGTGCATATATATATATATATATATATATATAATAGTAAATGATTTCATAGTAAAAAAATATTTTAATTTTAATTTTAAAATATCCATTGATAGTATCAGTTTTAAATTTTGAAATTTGAAAAAAAATAGTATAATTTTAAATTTTTATATCAATCTCAGAAAATTCGTTTAAATAAAAGATAATATAATATTTAATATTGTACATGAAAAACATTGGTTTCAAAGATGTGTATAATCAACAATATAATACATTTTATCCTAAATATTACAATGAAACAATGATTTAATTAACATTCTCTTTTATCCAATTTACATATTTTTTATCACATTTGTTTTAGATATGTAATCATTATCAGCAAAAATTGAATTATTTGATACAACAAAGCAAAAATTTAAAAATCCACATCATCATTTTAAAATAATTAAGTAACACCGATGTAATGTATGATTAATTATAAAAATCACTAGTGTGAAATCATACTATTGTCAATTATTTGTGTGTATATTTATGTATATATGTATATATATAGGAGAATGCTAGAGTGACCCAGGTTTTTGTTAAATCGATCCACAGTCCCCGTTCCCCACGTTCCCAGCACCTCGTCCCCTGTTCCGACCTCCCCGTCCCCATTCTCGGCGCCCATCCCCTGTCCAGGGGCCTTTCGCGGGGCAGCTTCTGAACCTCGAAGTCCCGCAAGGCCACTATCAAACCGTATGCTGGCTTGGGGTATGCCTCTTGCCGCAAACTGTGAATTCAATTGAGCTAGTGTGCTTCTGAACTCTGTCAAATTTTCAAGAGTCTCGGGAATCGCGTCTGTGAGGTGGTGGTTTGTCTGTGAATGGCGCCAACGAGGGTGATGATAATCGCCTTGTTGTTCATGTTTGCCCTTGCATCATTGTGTCCCCATGCCTCCGCCCAATCAAGCAAGACAGACTTGGAAGCGCTGCTTTATTTTTAAGCAAGCATCACCAACTTCTCCCGGGAGATGCTCCCCAACTGGAACCCCTTGGCGTCCTCTCCATGCTCATGGGTAGGAATTACTTGCAACAGTCAAGTCACTAATGTTTCCATTTATGAAATCAGATTCACAGTCACCATCTCCGCCCGAAATCGGCAATTTGGTCAATCTGCAGAGCTTGTATATGGGCAACTGCAATTTCAGCGGGCTTATTCAGGCGGAGCTTTCGAAATGCATTGCCCTGAAGTAGTTGGACCTGGGCGGGAAGGATTTTTCAGGAACTATCCCAAAATCCTCATCACCTTGAACTTGCCCGACGTCGGGATCAATGGCTCCATTCTGACGTCCCTAGGAAACTGCACCAAGCTCGAGGTTCTTGATGTCGCCCTTCAACGAGCTCAGTTGGCAACTTCCGGACTCACTGAAGCTCATGATTTCTCCAAGAATATGCTCCGTGGAGACGAGTTGACATGGAAGATTCTTGTGGCGCTTGGGACATCGTCAACTTGGCGAAGCTGAACATGAAAAAACCACCACCTCACAGACGCGATTCCCGAGACTCTTGAAAATTTGACAGAGTTCAGAAGCACACTAGCTCAATTGAATTCACAGTTTGCGGCAAGAGGCATACCCCAAGCCAGCATACGGTTTGATAGTGGCCTTGCGGGACTTCGAGGTTCAGAGGCTGCCCCGCGAAAGGCCCCTGGACAGGGGATGGGCGCCGAGAATGGGGACGGGGAGGTCGGAACAGGGGACGAGGTGCTGGGAACGTGGGGAACGGGGACTGTGGATCGATTTAACAAAAACCTGGGTCACTCTAGCATTCTCCTATATATATCATCAATAATTTTAGATTTGTAGAAAAGAAAGTAATTTTACGTATTGTTAATGTACATAATATTGATATGAATAGTCATTGTATATATATATATATATATATATATGTAAATTCTATAACGCATTATTGACTTTTTTAATAATAAGAATGTGTTCCAGAACGTTAATAAAAGCAGCAAGCAAGTCCAATTTGAGTTTCAGGCTTAAAATATCAACTAATATATGCTAGGTACTACATATTTGTAGGTTATGTTCCAAGGTATTGTGCAACAAGTGAGTCATTATATTCACATTCATATACAATTAAATAAAAGTTATATAATTGTTTGCATGTGTATGGATGTACGTACATATGTACATATCCACACATGGTTTTTCAGAACAGTCTGATTGTATCAAATTAATACCTGGAAATATTTATGGTATTAATTTTGTATCTCAAATTATATATATATATATATATATATATATATATCATGAGCAATTCCTCTAGAGAATACCGTGTCAAATTTGAACCAATAAATTATTTAAATGATTTTTTTTTTATAGAACATTCTGTTATAGAGCACAATCACTAACACAAAAAGAGAGAAAGAAAAAAGAAAAAAGAAAAAAGAAAAAAAAAAAAGAGTAAGAAAGAAAGTGGGAATAATCATTCAGAAATCAAGCAACTTCATTTAATTAAATACACTATGTAACAGGAGCATGTAAGTGTACTATTCGAAAGCACTTAAACATTTTAATAGTATAAAAATGCACAAAAATACCCAGCCAATATTTGTAGACAATGGTAGAAGGGATAAATGGTTGCAGCACAAAATGGGTGAATGTGGGTTACATGTAAAAGCCATACACACATGTATTCAAATGCACCATTCACAGTATAGTAAACAAAATGAAAAGTCAGATGCATCTGAATGAATTAACACAATAAGAGAAATTTGAGCCAACAAGAGCCTCGTTAAGATGCAATGGAGGACAGACGAACGAAATTTGCGGCAACGACGGAAAGGCGACGAGGCGACGACGGCGGCACTGAAGAGGGCAGTGAGCACCGGCATTGATCTCAACAACAACAACCAGGAATTGTTGCAGTGCTTGCAGTGCCGATCGATGTCTGGGGACAGACAGACAGACAGTGTGCACTTGAACTGGGATTGGGAGGAGCGAACTTCGGCTAGTCTCACTGCAGTCGAACGAATCCGAAACGGTGAAACTCATGAGCTCACGCTCCGACACCATCTGACCACTCGCCCACCGCCTGCCCAGCCTGGCGCCGAGAGACGTGGCTTTTCGCCTTGTTCTTTTCGATGGATCCAATTTTTGTCACCTACCACTTGTCGAGTCGGGAGTCGCGGCTCAGCGGCTGCTACAATTGTCGCTGTCCCTGGCTTTCTACAGTTGGGTGAGCG